TCAAACCAAGTATGACGACCAAATCTATCTACATCAACAAGCTCCCTGTGTGGCTGACGCATCTATGCCCGGCCTCTCTTGAGTCTTCTTCCAACTCCGCTTACCTCGTCAGCAAGGAGCAAAAAGCCAGGCGTTGACTGCCTGGTGTGGCTATACAACTTAGCGGCAAAAATTTTCCCCCTTCCCTTTTTCTTTTTTTCTTCTCTCTTCCTTCTCCCGTACTCATTGAACGAAGGGGTTTCCCTCTCTTCCTCTTCTCTTCCCCTCCTTAGCCCTTCACCAGATGTGGGGGCCACCCAACCATTACCGTCGCTTCCCAGACTTTCAACTTTTCTGCTCGGATGGGGCTTAAAGAGTTTGCGGGCTTTCCAGTGCCGCCCACTGTGCTTTGACTCTATGGGACTAGCAAACTTCTGGAGACGCTAGACAATCATGGCAAGTCAGGTAACACAGGATTTGCTGTCTCCAACTTGGCTCTGAAGTCTGACTAGCCCCTTGTCTGTCTGTCTGGGTCCTGGGACCTCACGACCCGTCCCCTCCCTCATGTCCACCTCCTACTTTTTTCTTCTGAGGGCGCTGAGCCTTGTCCTAGATTGTTTCTCGCCCTGTCCGTCTCCAGGTTGTTGTTCCCAATCCCAACTCTCCACCAACTGCTCTCCCCAGTGGGGGGGGGGGGGGGGGGGTAAGGGCCCTGCCGTTGTCCCGCCTCACGCCGCAGTCGGGCACTTGGCCGATGCTATTATTGTTGCGGAGCGGATTTGGCCGCTTGCGAATTGCACAATTCCCGAGGCCAGACGTTATGGGATGTCACCCTAGGGTAGGTGCATTATACTTGTTTGTCGGCAGGAGACGCAGTATGAGAATAGGTACTCAGTACCTTTCCCCCCTTGATACCTAGGTATTCCTGCTCCTTCTCCACCCCGATATGCCTCGACAAATTTTTTTCTCTCTCATTGTCTTTCATATCTTTACTGGTCTTCATCGGCTTGTTACTATGGGATTTATCCTCTCACACGTACGTACGTACTTTGGCGGTGGGTGGACGTGGCAGGCTCGGCATTTAGTCAAACTCTGGATAACAACTGACTCTTGCATTTGGGCAGTTTGTGACTGGAGCTGAGGGGGCCAGAAAACAGAAAAGTGACCGAGAGAGGTCTGAGTACCGGGATACCTTGCAACACCGCATCCGCGTCGCAGGAAGGCTCGTACGCAGTACCTCCCGACCAGGCAGGCCCAACCACCCCCATCCACCCATTCACCGACTTCCTTCCTTTGTCGCTCAGCCCATCTAGGTACGGTCATTTGCGTGAACATCACTCACAGCTCATCCTTCCATCCGCATCCATGATCCATATCGGGGGTTTCGCAATCCCACATTCCAATCTGCTGCAATTTGCCCGAACGCCGCCATCACGTCGGTTTCCTGACCGCCCTGCAGTGACCGCCCTTGTCCACTGCCGCGCCTCTCGGCCTCCTTCATCTGGATTCGACCATGGATGGAAGCCAACTGTGGAGGATGCAAAACAGCCTGCGCGCCTCGATGCTTCACTGGCTGGAACCTTCTATGCGGATACGTCGATTGTCCCGTGTACGCAATTTCTCCATGGCGGATGGCACACGCGTCTACGACTCAAGTGTATGCTTGCATGGCCACGCCCTGGATACAATTTCGACCGGGCGCCATGGCACGAGTGGGTGGACGAGGCCTGCGTATCCGGATATCATCAAAGCATCATCGTCAACAGTCCACCTTTCTACGAGGCCGCAGTCCATGGCTGCCACTCCATTCCTGTCTAGGACACGCGCATCCACCGCCTCCGGTTGATTAATGGCTTTCGTCAGACTCGGCTTGCACACCACACAGTGCTCAAGCGGGTGCAACCCCAAAGCTACTACTGGACCTCGAGTGCGATACCTCTCGTCCAGACTCTGAGCGAACGAGCCCGCAACTCACCATCCAACCCCCGCGACTGGTGGAGCGCCGGCCCAGCGGCCTCGTAGCACGCTTGCCTCCTCGCGATGAGATGGCGCGCGGAAACTCTGGCAGTCGGCCCTGAACCTTGGCCCGTTCCATCCAAGATCTTACTCACATCCTTTGCCAGCCCATTGACGCCCACCCTCTTGAACCACACACCAGCCGCTTGGAGGGAAAAGAAAGCGACACGCTACCCACACCACCACGCAAAACTGCAACTCACATGCTGCGCGTGTGCACGTCCAGCCTTCACGTCGCTGTCGTTGGAAACCATTCCTCCTTCGGACCCTGGGTGTGTGGGCAAAATGCAAACCAACACTGTCGGTTGAGCGAGATCTGTGATCCGCTTCCATCCGTCCCACTTACCATCCTTTTGGAAAGCGGCCTGTCGTTCGATACTCCTACACCGTCTTGATTCACGCCCCAGTCGTCTCCCCTCCAGGATGGCTGCAAACAATCAACGTTCCGTTTCGTACCTTGAGCTGCCGCTCAACAAGGTCGAATATGGGCAGGTACGCAGGGCACACCCAGACACCATTCACATACGTACGACGACAAGCAACGCACAAAGCACAGCGTTTCTCGTGTGGACACCAGACTCGCGACCTACAGACGGACCAAAACAATACTAAACATTAGATTCGGTCTTTTGCGCTTCTTGCGATAATGCCCACTAATGGAGCGAGCTTTCTACACAGTATGTCCGGCCGCCATCCAGTTTGGAATACCGACATAAACTATGCATCGTACTCACGGTTTCTCGACAACATGCGAGATACGTACCGGCGTACCAGGGGGCTCCCCTTGAGCGGGGCCACCTCCGTGCTTTTCTCGAAGTTCCTTCACACCTCTAGAGACCAGAGACCCCGATGGAGATCGTGGGCTATTCAGATTCCAATGTCTGTGCTTCGCATCTCGTTTCTCCTTTCCTTTTCCCCTTTCGTTCCAGGCGAGGGGCTCCAGATATTCGTACGGCTACAAGTCGTTTCCGGTTTTCTTTTATCGCCTTGCTGACTTCGAGTCGAGGCGCAAAGAAGAAAAGAAGGGCCATTGTCTCGTTTCCAAGTCCCCGCCGGCCGTTCGTCTCGGGTTTGGATGCGTATCCGCCTCTTCCCAGTGTCAGGCCGACCATCACTCGGTCACAGGATTTTCATCACCGCGCCGCCAGGTGGGTGGCACTTTGGAGGAAACCACCAAAACATGCAAGGCAAGACGCACATCCCCATCTGCGCTATACGTACCAGTGCTAGGGGGCTTGGAGGGACGGACTGGGAGGGATGATGTTCATGGACCCGTAGTCCCAAGAGCGGGTGTCTCTTGCTAGGTCCCATCGATCCCCGGTGAGCTAATATCGCAACGCCCCCTCTCGTCTGACCCATCAGTTCAAACTAAGCTTGCTGGGGACCTTGGGTTCATGATGGCGGGCTACGACTGGTCGGACGATGACGGGGGCCTCGTCGGTTCAATGCAATAAACCCACCCTCTTCAAGCCACGAAGGGATGCCGTTCCCCTTGGACCCCTTCTTCACCACTGGGTCCCTGGGCTGGCCGCTGGCCGTGGCGCTCTGCTCCGGTCTTGGTCTTGGTCGCTGGCTGCTGGAGCAAGTTGCACGAGATGCAAGCAGGGGGTGGCATCTCCAGACTCCGACCTGGCGGCGTGAGCGCCTGGGCCGAGCGGTTCTTTTTGGGCCAAAGACATTCCATCCATGTTCTTTTTTCTTTCCTTGCCTTCTTGACCGCCCGCCGCCCGCCTGTCTTGTCGGCCCCCTCCCCTGGCTGTCCTGCCCCGTCCTGCCCACCAGTCGAAAAAGACATTGTGCTATAGTACCAGGGAAGTACGTAGCATTGTGCCACAAGCATCTGTCTTTCTCGACACTTGAGCCTTGCATCCCGCCATGGCACCGCTGGTGCAGTTGCAGCTTGGTACGACAAGGTGCACCGCGGTACGTACACGCGCTCATACCAGCCTACATACAGTGAGAGGCACCACCGTAGAGTGTACGCACAAGGACGGCGTTGCATTGGCAGCGCAACCCGGTTCGCTCCACAATCCACTCGTCTATTCACTCATCCACCCATCCTTCCACCGCCGACCATCCCTCCCCAATCCTAATCCTACCTGTCAATTACCCTCCTCCACCCCGTACTACAGTAGCGTACCGGAGGCCAGTGCAAAGCGAAGCGAAGCAATTAACCGTCCACATCCACACCCACCGCCGCTACGCTCACACGCGTACCCGCGCTATCGACAAGTCCGTCCCATGCTTTTCCATTCAGTCCCTTCCGCCCCTTCAATGTTCTCACACCCTCCCACCCTCCCCCCGCCCGCAGAAGACCTACCTCCTCTGGTAGGTACGTGCAGGGCCCAAGGAAATCAGCCGCCTCGTCTGCTTCGACTCCGAAATGCACGACGCTCCATTGCGAGATCCCTGCCCAACACATATGACGCAGCCCGCAGCCTGCTGGCCGCTGGCCGCCCCCCCCCATCAACTCCCAGACACACTCACAAAAAGGTACAGCAGTAGTACGTACCTCCCCTGCCCAGCCACGCCTGGGACATCTGCACAGCGCGGATACCTCCCATCAACTTCACATCCACCCCATGTATGCAACCCACGCTTGCTGCCTCTTCGTGCACACATGCAAAACCGCCCATAGTGTTAATCACTTGTTGTCTTTTTTTCTTGGCCCACTCCGTACCCATGGGTGAGCATTTGTTCCTCCGACTGGAGCTAAGGTTTGGTTTTATCCTTCTTCAAGACCGATCTAGTATCACCCATGTCCCTTCCCCATTGTACTCCCTTTAGAGCCCTTTTGAGCAACGTCTTCTTTTCCATACATAGCCCGGGCTGAGCCCATCCTTCCCAACCTGTTTATATCATCACCATCCGCCGCATCTCGTCTTGTTCGACTCGAGCGGTCGCCAGACAGCATACCTCTTTCAACAACTTTGAACATCACACACGCACACACACTCTCACATATTGAACAACACGCCTCTCTCTCCTCCACCGCACACAACAAGATGATGCCCGTACTCATGGGAGGCGTTCTCCCGGGACCTGTTCCCACCGCCTACCACACCGATGCCTTGTTCGATGATCTGTCGAGACAGATGGCCATCTCTCAAGCATCTCGGAGGCTATCCCGGGGCTCCAGTGGACAACGAAACGGAAACGCCATGCGTGTAGCAAAGCCTACCAGTGCAAACAACAGTCCAAGATCATCATCAGCAATGCAGGCGAGGAGAAGGACCGTGGTGAATGATGGAAACTTGGCGAGGCGGAGGCAGCAGCCCATGGACCAAGTCATCCTGCCCGAGTATGGCACTCAGTCTCGACCAAGCCGTCCCCTAAGCTGGCACCCTTCCACCTTCCAACACCAACAACAAAAGATGCCCGTTGCTCAGCACATGGCCTCTTACCCATTCCCTCCTGCCGCGTCAGCATACGACATCGACAGCTATCACATCTACCAGCAATTCCCGCCAACCCCGGCGGCTTACTCGTGCAACACATCACCTGTTGCCTCCTTCTCCCCTCTCTCTCTGCCCTTCGGCACGTACGACAGCTCAGCGTATCTGCCCGTGGAGGGCTGGAACGTTCCCCAGCAGGAACCCCCAGCATACGTCTCCTCGGAGACGACTGGGTACGCAGAGCCCTTCCCGGCTCTGCCTACCACCTTGCCGGACCTCACGCCGTCGTCTACTTCCACGCACTGGCAATCGTACTCGATGGACGGCTTTCCTAGCACTTCTCCCCCTACCCCCGAGACGCTGCCGCAGGCTCAGCAGCCTCAACCTATCGTCCCCAACGAGGACACCATCCCATACCAGCCTCTGGACGAGCCCGAAGAGGAGGGCGAGATCCTGGTCGGCATGGGCCTCTACGACGCTCCGGACAAATACGACCAAGACCCCCAACTCGACGCCTCTCGGTCCGCCATGTCTTCACTGCTTGGCGCGCCGTATCGCCCCCAGGAGGGTACCGGCAAGGGCTTGAAGTTGGAGGAGTCGTGGCAGCCGCCCGAGAGCGACGACGAGGACGCTGATCAGGACGACGCCGACGGCGAGGACTCTGATTAATGACACAACGGAAGACTGTCTTGAGCGCAAGCGGTTATGAATTTACGACGAAACTTGTATACCATGTATGATTCGGAGATGTAACACTAAAAAATTGGGTTGTCTCTGGGACGGGAGAGAGGAATCTCGTCATGGTCTAGGAGCAGCGGAAGCAAAAAATGAGGCATATACCCAGAAGAGAGGGAGCATGGGTCCAACCAGTGGCCCATGCACCTCGGGAAGCGGCAGTCCAAGAACTGCCTAGATAGAAATAATCAAAAACGCGCCTGGCGCAAACATGACAAACACCAATGCTTCCAGTCTCACCAAAGTGCAGTGTCTCCCGACTTGACGAGACGGGACCAACCCAACGCCACCTGTCAGCCGCACCCGATTCCACCTGCACACATCACGCAGCAGAGGGCGGCGCCGGATCGAAGTTCAATCGTCAACGCGGACACTAAAATAAGCGAGAAAGAGCCTCCCGAACACCACCCCTGTCGAGGCATGGCATGAGCTGCATGTGGGTCAAGCTCCCCTGTCACATCCCGCTAGTTGACCAATCATATATGCCCATGGCTATCCACCCCCGCCGTCCTGGCTAGCCCTGCCAGGTTGCGAAACACCCCGCCCGTGGCCGCTAGAAAAATTCTGGTCGCTGCTCTGGTGACCTCACCAGCAAACCCAGCCTCCTTCCACCTCCCCCTCCCCTTCTCCCATCTTACGCACTGTACAATCACACTTTGCCGCAGTGGCGTCCACGCAGAAGTGCACTCACACAGTGAGCAACAACGTTCAGAGGGGGAAACCCTCAGCCGACCGTACGGGCTCAGCGAGAGGGAGGCGCCGTTATCGGATCGGACTGGGCGGTTTTACCCCACCATGGATGCTTTGGAAAATTTCCCTCGCCCGTCGAGTCACGAATCACGAATTACGACATTGGGGAGAAGATCGGGCTCCAGTTTGGATTTTCTTGCTGTGCCGGTATCGACGCTAACTAGGGGGGCTCCAGCATTGTGAATTTACCCCTCACTCGTTGCACCTTTGGGATTGACTCAACCACATATCCAAAAGTTGTAACGCAAACAACCACACCACGATCCCATCACGAGAAACTATAATCGATTTCAAGATGGCATCCCAGTACGATCTGACCCCGTCAGGCCATCCTGTTTGGTGGCCGAGTACATCCCACGCTGACCAATTTATGACGATAGGAGCGTTTTGATGCTCGGCGCGGGCTTCGTGACCCGGCCGACGCTGGACATCCTTAGCGATGCCGGCATTCCTGTCACCGTCGGTACGCATTGCCCTCCCCCACCCACGCTGCGTTCAACATCGAGCCACCAGGACTGTTCAGTACGCGTTCTGTCGACTGACACCTCCCAGCCTGCAGAACCCTCGAGTCCGCCAAGAAGCTGTCCGAGGGCGTCAAGCACTCCACGCCCATCTCGCTCGATGTCTCCGACGACAAGGCCCTCGACGCCGAGGTGGCCAAGCACGACCTGGTCATCAGCCTGATCCCCTACACCTTCCATGCGACCGTCATCAAGTCGGCCATCCGCCAGAAGAAGCACGTCGTCACCACCAGCTACGTCTCGCCCGCCATGATGGAGCTGGACCAGGCGGCCAAGGACGCCGGCATTACCGTCATGAACGAGATCGGACTGGACCCCGGCATCGACCACCTCTACGCCGTCAAGACCATCGAGGAGGTCCACCGCGAAGGCGGCAAGATCCTGTCCTTCCTTTCGTACTGCGGCGGCCTCCCCGCCCCCGAGGCCTCTGACAACCCGCTCGGCTACAAGTTCTCGTGGTCATCCCGTGGCGTCCTGCTGGCGCTCCGCAACGCCGCCAAGTACTACAAGGACGGCCAGATCGTCGACGTCTCGTCCAAGGACCTCATGGCCACGGCCAAGCCTTACTTCATCTACCCCGGCTACGCCTTCGTCGCCTACCCCAACCGCGACTCGACCCCCTACAAGGAGCGGTACAACATCCCCGAGGCGCAGACCATCGTCCGCGGTACCCTCCGCTACCAGGGCTTCCCCCAGTTCATCAAGGTGCTCGTCGACATCGGCTTCCTCGAGGATGCCTCCCAGCAGGTGCTGTCGAGTCCCATCGCATGGAAGGAGGCTACCAAGGCTGTCGTCGGCGCTGCCTCGTCGAGCGAGAGCGACCTCGAGGCCGCCATCGTCTCCAAGGCGACGTTCGAGTCCCCCGAGGAGAAGCAACGCATCCTTAGTGGCCTGCGGTGGATCGGCGTCTTCTCGGACGAGCAGATCACGCCCCGCGGCAACCCGCTCGACACGCTCTGCGCGACGCTCGAGAAGAAGATGCAGTTTGAGGAGGGCGAGCGCGACATGGTCATGCTCCAGCACAAGTTTGAAATCGAGCACAAGGACGGCTCCCGCGAGACGCGGACGTCGACCCTCGCCGAGTACGGCGACCCCAAGGGCTACTCGGCCATGGCCAAGCTCGTCGGTGTCCCCTGCGGTGTCGCCGTCAAGCAGGTGCTGAACGGTACCATTGCTGAGCGCGGTGTCCTCGCGCCCATGAACTCCAAGATTAACGACCCCATTATGAAGGAGCTCAAGGACAAGTACGGCATCTACCTCATCGAGAAGACCCTGTCTTAGGCTGGAGTCGTCGGGACGGGTACCCAACTACCGGGTGTCTGCCATTGCGAAACAGAAGCAAAAGCATGGCGGCGCCTTGATGAGAAGATAATAAAAAGCAAAAGTTTAGACTGTCCATGAGGACTCGAGAAAAAACGCATTGACGTGTCACGATACTTGGTTGTTGGTCTGGATTCATCTCGTACGTGAGCCCGAATAGTGCATCAGCCCATGCAGCGGTCGGCCAACCGTCGTGTGCTGGTTGTGAGTGAGCATGTTCAGATGGTTTGGCTTGTGAAGGTCCGAGGTGAACTCATCTCAGCTGAAGTGGGAGCATGCGGGCGTTGCTGAGTGATTGGTAATAGATTCGGTCACCACACAACGGCACGCTTCACGGTTGGGTATCGGGGTTGGTGATATGCAAGGCTCGAGGCATTCCCGACCTGAGAGTACGAGTCGTCTGATATCCAAAGACTGGGCTGGCCTGAAGAGCCGTTCGAGCGTCGCACGGAATGGGCTGCCCCTGAATTATGTCTCTGCCGGTGTGCGTGGTACCTGTGTGTGTGTGTGTGTGTGTGTGTGTGTGTGAGCTATGTGCGTGGCGCTGCATGTCCCAGATGTTTGGCTGATGTGAGTTAGGTTTGGTTGGCAGTGTATCCGATGTCAGTTCACTGCACGCTATGCGCGATACTAATCGGGCAATTTTTGTGGTCTCCAAACTTTTTTTCCCCACCCTTCACTTCCAAGAGAGACTTGCTTCGTTTTCCCTTTTCACACCCCCCCTCTGGAGCGCCGAGACCTGCGACCCGGTCAGCGAAGACACTCGAAGACAAACCATTCCAAGTCCCGTTTGGACGAATAGGTATCAGGCACCCAAGCCGCAACGCCAAAAAGGACGAGCCATCCATCGACAGCATTGAGCAGCCTTGAGAGCGCTCGCTCTGAAACATCGTTCCCTACCACCTACACGACTCGCATGCGTGAGGGCCAGCCTGGATTAGGGCGTCATACCTTTGGACGGCCAACTCGGCGCAGGAAGCCAGACGTCTCGTCACATTCGCCCTCACTTCCCGGCAGACACGCACTTTACGCATCAGAATGGTCCAGTACATCCTGACGCCATGGCGCGATCGCCGCGAGCTGCTCAAGGTTCGCCAGCAATTTTATCCTGCCGCCCCGCCGTCCGCGGCCTCAGCGTCTTCAGCAGCAACAGCACCCGCGCCCGCACCCGCATCCGCGTCTGCACTACCCACGGCACCATCAATACGAGGAGCACCAGCGCCAGCACCGCCCTCAGCAACGGGAGCGCCGTCCTCGCAACACCACCAGCACAGGACTGGCACGACGAGCGCCATCAGCGGCAGCAGCTACTCTAGCGTCGACAACGACGGGCTCCTGGCGGCCCAGCACCATGCCGTCGCCAGAGTGTCAATGTGGATGCAGCGCGGCAACTGCCCGCACATGGTCGAGTCGACGGCCCTGCTGACGGCCGCCATCCTGAGCGACGGGGAGAGCAAGGGCAGCGCCGGCACCTACGCCGTCCGCGCCGCCTACGCCGCCGCCTTTAGCCGGTACGTTCTGTTGTCTCTCTGTCTCCGTCCAACCTAGCCAGAGGTCGTTGGTTACAAGAGCGCGGAAGTCTATTCGGGCGTTTCCCGTCCGCTCTTCCAGGCCTCTCGAACCTTGGCCCTTTCCCTTGGGGTGGCTTTGAAACAATCTATTCCTCCAGGGATTGGGCGCCCTTCTTCCCTCTCAACTCCCATTTCTGGACTTTGGCGTCTTCTCACATTTCGTCCTTTTTGCTCTTCCTGTTATTGTCACCCCATTCACACGTACACGCCCCCCCGGCCTGTGTCTTGCGACGCCCTGTCTTCTTTTGGACCTCCCCAAAACCCCAGACCCGGGCCCAGAGCAGCTCACGCGGCCAGCCTGATGAAAGGCACGATCGCCCGATCTGCCCTGGTGACCTGCTGGACCACACGAGCAATGCACTTATACACAGGTCGTACCAACACACCCCCATTCTCCGAGCACACCCCACCTTGGTTCGCTTCTTGTCTCACCCTGTACGCATCGCGCAAGTGTGCACTATGGCCCATGGTCTGACGGACGTTCCTGGCATCGGGTTTCTTCCCCAAGGCATGTGCCCTCCTACGGGCCGTCCTCTTGGGCGACATCTACGAAGTCATTCCCCCCTCCCTTCGAGGCAACTACCAGAGGGCCGACTTGTGTCTGAGCCCGGGCTCCTCCTGGCTCTCTTCCGCCTGTACTACCTTGTCCCTTGGATGCTTCGCAACCCGGTGGCCGATCATGCCGCTGGTCCGTAGTCGCTCACACATTCTTCTCGATTAGGTTCGTGACCGGGCTCTTGGATGGACACCAGGACAAGCAGCGGAAGCTGAGCATGTACTCGGTTGCCAAGACCATCGGCCTGCCGGCGACGTTCGTCGAGCTGCGACACCAGGCGACACATGAGACGCTGCCGTCGCTCGCGAAGCTGCGGTCCGCGGCGCGCAAGGCGCTGGTCTGGATCTGGGAGTACTACTGGCAGCACCTGGGTCCCGACGAGGAGGACGTCGAGGTTGGGGTCTCGCAGAAGAAGGCCGGCGTCGCTACGGCTGCCGCGGGTCGCGCGGTCGTGGTTGCGTTCCTCGAGGAGAGGGACGAGGCGCGGCGCGCGGAGATGAAGACGTGGATCGACGGGCTCGACGAGAGTCGGCTGCTCGCCACGCTGGAGAAGATTGCAGAGGCGCCGCCGAATAACGCCGTCATGCTTGCCGCGCTGCGGCTGTCGAAGGAGATTTTGCAAAAGGGGCATGGCGCCCAGGGCACAGAGCAGGAGGACGGGAGGGACTTGGACAAAATCAAGAAGAGGATATCACAGGCGGAGGATGCTCTCATGGCGGAGACACAAGACGTCGTGGAGACCTATGCCAACGACGTCGAAGCCGAGGAGCCTAAGGAGAGTAGTAGCACGGGCTGGGCAAAGTTTGAGGGCACATGGAAGCCGCGGCCGATCGGCATCGCGTGAAGCAGCATGGCATACCGAAATGCCCCGTATTACATCACTACATAGCTCTTGATAAGTAGGTTCTGGAATGGACGATGAAGTGAAGCCATCGCCGTGAAAACCGCGGTCACGTGGGGTATGACGATACCAAGTGGATGGGGTAAGTACCCGACAAGGGGGAGGAGGGGAGGGGAGGGGCCGGCCCGCAGATTTGTAATAACGTCACCGTGACTTGCCGAGTAGCTGCATACAACAAGTTAACCCCGTAAGCTCCGGATTGTCAAACGACGCATCTCAGCCGTGACAATTGCCTTTCATGAATACCCTCATCGCCAGGAAACCATTACTGAGACAGAAACTCGCCACCGTAACAGCCGCAGTGAGTCGCCCTTGTACCGAGTTGGGCGCCCTCAAAGGTGGGCGCGTCACGAGCGGGCCAGCGGCTTACATCGGGGACAGCTAACGTTCACCAACGCCATGCATATCCAGTCGATTCCCATGTGTAGGTCGAGCTCGTTCTAGAAAAGTGCCCTGCGGGTAGTTGCGTGAGAGCCTCATGCTAACTTGGGCTGGTTCGCAGGGGTGGGCAGTAGCAACAACTACGCCTACCTGGTCAAGGACGACAAGACCAACGACGCCGTCATCATCGACCCGGCCAACCCGCCCGAGTAAGTTTCTGTTTTGAGCCGAAGTGAGTGCTCACACTGACGGCTGCGACGCAGGGTGACTCCGGTGCTGCAGAAGGCCATCAAGGGCGGCGAGATCAACCTCACGGCCATCGTCAACACTCATCAGTGAGTCCTTGGCCCCCGTTCGGCCCCGGCGACGTGAACGCCATCTGACCATGTTGACAGCCACTGGGACCATGCAGGCGGAAACAAGCAGCTCGTAAGTCGCCGCCGCCGCCCCGCTCACCACGGTGATTCTGACGAGACACAGCTGGGCGACCTCGGCCTGGAGAAGCTGCCCATCATTGGCGGCAAGAACTGCGACGGCGTGACCAAGACGCCGGGCCACGGCGAGTCGTTCAACATTGGCAGCATCGCCGTCAAGGCGCTGCACACGCCGTGCCACACGCAGGACAGCATCTGCTGGTTCATGCAGGACGGTGAGCAGAAGGTCGTGTTCACGGGTGACACGCTATTCATCAGCGGTGGGTTCCATCACCTCCCCTGAACGCCGGTCTCGTGTGTTGAACAGGATGCGGATGGGCGAGCGGGTTGGTGAGTCAAGCGGTTGCTTACGGTCGACATCACAGGCTGCGGCAAGTTCTTCGAGGGCAACGCCGAGGAGATGCACACCGCGCTGAACAAGACGCTGGCCTCGCTGCCCGACGACACGGTTGTGTTTGTGAGTCTTTGCCGACGGCCATCTCGCTTGGGGGCGTGCTGCTGACCAAACACAGCCCGGCCACGAGTACACAAAGTCCAACGTCAAGTTCGCCGCATCGGTGCTGCAGAACGAGGCGATCCAGAAGCTGCAGGCCTTTGCGGAGAACAACAAGGAGACGCAGGGCAAGTTCACGATTGGCGACGAGAAGGTAGGTCGTTCTGGGGTCTGGACCTGCACGGCAGGGGGGTCAGAAGAGGGCTGACATGTTCCCGACAGAAACACAACGTCTTTATGCGCGTTGAGGTGAGTTTGCGTCCCCTGGCGGCAAGAGAGCACGCGAGGCTGATGCGTGCACAGGACCCCGAGATCCAAAAGGTTACAGGGGCGAACGAGCCCGTCGCCGTCATGGCCAAGCTGCGCGAGATGAAGAACAACTTCAAGTGAGCAAGTGGTAGATATCCCTCCCCGTCACTGGCCATCTTGTGGCAGTTGCCGTTGTCAACGAGAACGATGCCAGACCAGCCGGGACCCGAGCTAACGACACAGTCCACTCCCTGAGTCGAAGATTTGATGCGAATGCGGGGGACGGCGTTGAGGAGTCTAGCTGGGAGAGCAGGATATACCAGTGACGGTAGCACGGAGGTGGTTGTGAACGAAAAACGCCATTGCGCATCCCGGGCGGAAGGAGGGCGGCGGCAGGCATGGATCACCAGACTTTATAACTCTTGCATATCACAACATACAAAAAAAAAAACATCAAGTCTATCTATGGTCATGGTATGTCTCCCAAGAGGCCCTAAGCGCCCCGACGACCGGGGTCGAACGAGGCAAGAGTGCAGCCCTGGGAAGAGACGTCCGTCCTGCGGAGGCCCCCGTTTGTTTGATCTTGCTTCACTGTCCACACGTGCTCGCTTTGGGTTTATAAAAGCGGCAAGCTCTAGCATTTTTTAGAAGCTGAAGTTTTTTGTCTCTTGTCTTAAGACGGTCGAGTTTTCCCGGTCCATTGGGAAGGGGAATTGCTCTTGGCTTTGATTGACATGGTGCCCGTCCATGGTGGGAGCCCAGCGTGTTGGCTGTGTGGTGTAGCCCGGCCACCTGTCGTGCTTTCTCAAGGGAATTGTGAGGCGGTAGGTGCAGTTTATACAGTCCGTCCAGGGTTCGGAATGTCCATGATTTCCACGACCGTGGAGCTTCCGAGCGGCTGGCAGTCGCAAAGCATAAATCACCAAAAAGTGGCGTTGTGATGAGGGCCGAAGCCTGATCTCGACGAGGTCCAGCTGAGAAGATGTTCGACCAGTCCGACGCACCGCGCGTCATGACGAATAAAGTCGGGTAGACAGCATGGCCGAGACCAGCGGTCAGAAAGCCTCCCAGCGCGGACCTCGGAGTCGTCGTGTTGTTAGCGTTGTCGGCACCGCGCTGCGGCGAGACAGTATCGTGAGTTGGGAAGGAAAGACGAAGCGGGTTGGAGGAAGATTTTGCGACGGAATTTTTATACGGGTGGGATTTTCACCGGCGGGGCATTTTACTGTGTTTATTCACGGCTGACACGCGGTATCCCGCACTGTCCTCCGCGCGTCGCCGCCGCCGGTCCGCCGAAACCCATTAACGCGTCCCTGCGTTTCCTTGTCCCCCCCGACGCATCCATCGTCATCGACGTCGAATTGCTCCCGATCCGCCCCCCTAGACAGCTCGGCCACAACCTCCCACAACCACCAACAGGAAAGCCACGACGACCATCGCGAGTTTTCCGCCGCCAAAACCAGGCAAACTTTATCACAAACAACGAAAGCCTGACAACAGCCAAGCGCCCCGTCGTGCGCAATGGTGAGTAAACCCGCGCCTTTCTCTCTCTCTCTCTCTCTCTCCGCCCGCGCGAAACCGCATCAGAGAAGGCCGGCCGGGTTCCTAGCTGACAACCTCGCCCCAGCCCGCGAAGCGCAGAGCGCCCCCTCCGGCCGCCGCGCCCCCGGACGTCCCGCGCCCGCGCGCCTCGAAGCTCGCCAAGGAGCACAACATCTCGGCCCACGAGGAGCGCGAGATCCGCGAGGCCTTTTCCCTCTTCGCCGAGCCCATGAAGGGGTACTCCAAGGAAGGCGTCATCCCGACGGCGGACGTGCGGTCGTGCCTCGTCGCGCTGGGCATCCCGCCCGCGTCGCGCCAGGAGCAGGCCGAGTTCGTCGAGATCCTCGACCCCGAGGGCGAAGGGTTCGTCGCGTACGAGCCCTTCTTCGCCATCTGTGCGCTCAAGTACCATCAGAGAGAACAGGGCGGCGCCGGCGCCCGCGACGAGAGGCGGCGCGAGGTCGACGAGGCCTTTGGGCTGTTCACCGGCGCCGGGGGCGGTGGCGGCGCCGCCGCCGCGGGCCCAAGGGACGTCATCACGATGGCCGACCTGAAGAGGGTCGCGGGCGTGCTGAGGGAGGACGTCAAGGACGAGGTGCTGCGGGACATGATCCTCGAGGCCAATGGCGGCGCCGGGGTCGGCAAGGGGGTTAGGAAGGACGAGTTTGAGGAGGTTATGCGCCGCGCCGGGGTCTGGCGGTGACGGAGGTCGCGAGGCGGAAAGGGAAGCGGACAAGGGGTCGAGGCGGTGAGTTTCTTTGTGGTTTGGTCTGGCATTATACCCACGGATCCTGGCGTTTTTGGAAGCATGGCGGAGGGAACCAATGGCTTTTTTTGTTGGCGGGCAAGGAAGCTCTATGGGTCTTGTTGCTGCCAAGAAGGGGGAAACAATCACTTGACGACGTGGACGGCACTAACTCTCTAGGACTGTAGACCCTTCATTGGTGGTACTGGTAATAATAGTTCTATCTGATCTCAGCCCATATGTCGTCGGTGGGTGTGGGGGTTCCCCGTCACCCCCGCGTGGATTTCCATGCTCATAAAAACGCCCTTGAATTATGCATATTCCAGCCTTTCCCTGGTGTAGTGTGCCAAGGCCTGGCCCTGGGGATACCCTATTCTTCCTCAATACCCCCCAAATAAATCCCCGTAAGTTGGCGAGGTGAAGCCTGGGAGGGCGTCTCTCATGGCTTACCGGTTTCCTTTTGTGCAAAGAAGAGAAGAAAAAAACTCGAGAGCCCTGCAGCCTGGCCTGCTTCTCGGAGAGCCTCGGCGGGGGTTGGTCTCCTAAAAGGAGGCGGAGTGCGGAGGAACGCGGCCAGCCCGCTAAGCCGGCGCGCCTCCCACCGCCTTTGCTTTCTCGGCGGCGGCTTTTTGCGAGTCGATGACGACCTGGAGCTCGGGAGGAGCCTTGAAGCCGGCGTGGTCCTGATGGCGCTTGTAAAAGTAGTTATCGGCCTTGGGGCGCAGCTCGGCGGGGAGCTCCTCGAGGACGCACTCGAGGATGGCATCGATGGACTTCTGCTTGGAGCCGTCACGGTGCCAGATGGAAATCAGGTGCGAGTTGAAGCGGACCGACAGGCCGACGCCGCAAATCTGGTCGCCTGGGGTTGTTAGCGGTAGTCACTCGTTGGATGAACGGGCAGGCAGGCTCACTGTCGTCCAGCACGCTCTGCAGCTTCTCGCCAATGGCCAGCAGCTGCACGCGGGTCCACACATCGGGGCCGATGTTCTTGGGCACGCGGAAGGTCCAGGCGCCGCCGTTGATGTTGCGGCGGTCCTCCCAGATGGGCTTGAAGCCCTGCTTGAACAGGTAGATGGACTCGCGCATCTTGATCTGGTCGACGGGGGTGTTGTTGTTGTACTTCCAAAAGTCCTGGACCGACTCGATCTGCGAGCCGAGCTGCTCCAGCTGGACCTTGTACTCCTCGTCGGTGCCTGCCTTTTGCTGTTCCTTCGACTGCCTGGAAGGGGGGGGGTTTGAAGGTTAGTCGATTGCAGCTTCAGGGGTTCGTTCGTATGCGGGGGAGCGCAAAGAACTGACAGCGCATGGCGTCGTGGCACCGGAGAGACTCACTTGTCAAAGTAGACGTTCCAGTAGTGTTGTGTCGGCAGAGGGCGCATGGCCTTGAGGAAGTTGCGCTTCGCATCGTCGCGCTGGTCGGCCGGGGAGCTGACGCTGGGCGAATTGGGCTCGGTGGTGCTCTGAGAGAGCCCCGAGAGGCCACGGGTGAACAGCGCGGGTCTGGCAGCCATGGTGAGGACGTCGTGGGGGCGGGTACGGGAGAAGCAGAAGAGAAAAGAAGGACAGCGGTGGAAATCGAAGCTACGGGGGAGGTGTCGAGACGAAGTGTCGGTTCAAGATGAACGGTCGGACGGCGGCTCTCGTAGATTGCTACTGCACCTAGCCGGGGGTCGTTGTCGGGTAGGCGTGGCCGTGAGGGACGTGGAGGGGCGAACACTGACACTGGAGCCCTGGATCTGGCAGCTGGTCGTTGGTTGGCTCAATGTGATGCCACAGTGCCCAATGTAGCAACGAGGGGCAGAAGTGGGCTGGGCCGTTGATGGTACGGGACAGCTCAAGTGTGAGACTGGGGTGTTTGCTGACCGTCGTTTGCCGGGTGTCTCTCTTTTGTGGACAAGCAGAGCGGTTGTTGGCCCGGCCGGAAGACAGACGTGGGGAGGTACGATAGGGACGTGGCTTGGGGCTGTTTGGGATTCACCAATGAAAGGGCCGTTTGGTGGGGTTTTGGCGATTGGGCGGCGGCGCCCCTGGGTTGATTTGAGGTAAAGGATTGCGATGAGAGAGATGGCGGGAGAGATAGGATTGTCAGATAGATGCCCTTGAAATGCTGCTACAGAATACTTTGATGCTTTGCGTCCTTCCAGTGTCGATCGGTTCAGGGCCTGGGACGGGGTTTAGAACCCCGTGGACTTGGGAACCAAGGCACCTGTCAATATGGGCTGGGGCGGGCTAAAGGTGCTTGTACTGCGGCAGGGGTTCCTTGCAACTCTGAATGACTCGATGGACGTATTCAGTGAGTTGGTGACAAAGAGTGATGGGAACGACTCGGCAGGACGGCGACCGAGGGAAAGGCGGTAGTGAGAAGAGAGGAAAAGGAGGAGACGAAATGGCGGCGAGTGGTAGGGATAATAAGCCTTCAACCGTCTCGTCGTCCCACGTTGTGGGCGACTCCTCCTCCTCCTCCTCCTCCAAGAGGACTACGATTGTGCTTCAGGGTCTGTAAGGCAAGGTCACCACCGCAAAGGGGGGAGAGAGGAGGACCTGGGGATTCCAGGGGACACAAGACAAGACGACACTCGGTTCGAAGGACAAGGCATCTTGGCCGAGGGACATCCTAGCGCCAGGTACCGCCGCGTACCGCGTCAAAAAAGGATGCTTTGTCTGGAGATTGGACAGGGAGCATTGGAACCCGTTCGAGAGTCCTCCGATCTGAGGTCTGAAGCGCAACAGGGCAGGGAACCTTGCTCATCATTGGCGAATGGCGCCAGAGGGTGAAGTCCAGGAATCAGCAGAGTGTTCGCCGGGAGAGATAGGACGGGACATAAGCAAGGACGTGGATCGCCTAAGTTCCGCCGCGAGATCCGGACGGCGATGCACAAGGTAGCACTTGGTCTCCGAGGCTCGGTAATGGGCGAGCGAGCGGAATGGCAGAAGCGACTCTTGCTGCTGACGCTGCCGCTGCCGCTGTGCTCAGGGCAACGATGCCTGCCGCTCAACGACACGAGGCAGACCAAAGGGTAACGGCGTCCTTGCGGCAGGGCAGGCCCCACGAAAGAGATTCCGCGGGCGCGCCCACGGCCGTCCGTCCCGTCTTTGGAGACGTGCACTGAACATGCTGGAACTAACGCTGCAAACCGATGGACTGGGACTGGGGGCGCTAGACGCCAGGGACAACTGGCATCTCGACCGGACCAGAAGCGGCGAGCGACGGCAACAACGGCGACGGTTTAGGGGCTCTATGGACGCCCCAGATGCACGGCAGAGCAGGAGGAGGGGGGGCTGGGGTGGACAATTGAAGGGTGATTAAGACGCAGCGATGCCCCTCCACCCCAGGGATGAGAGAACCTTGGTGGGAACATCTTACCGGCCTGAAACATCGAAGCCGCCGTGGTGGCCAGTGATAGGGCGCCGTGACGAGGATGGGCGGGAGGAGCAAAGACCGGATGTTCAGGTTTACGTTCGAGAAGACTGCTGAGTGCTGCTGCTGCTGCACCTCCTCAGTTCGGGCTGCAAATGACAGGGACAGATGATCAGGGGAGTAGGTAGGGGCAGATCAATCTGGGAACAGGGACCAGGGACTAGGCATGTGCCGTGCCGTGGAAATACGGCCCAAAGCTTGAGTGATCAGGGCCTCGTAGCGGATCCCATATCCGGTGGGAGGATAGGAGTTGTAGCAAAGCCTACTACGTACACGACTACGAGGTGACAAGCCACGGCCAAGTATGACTTTGGGGACCGACGACATATCTGCCAAGGCACGCGGTATAATGCGTGAAGAAAGTCTTGGTCAACGGGCCGCCCGTTACCCTGCGGACGCAGGATATTGAGTGCCGATACACTCGCTAATCCGGAGCATTACCACGGCGAGCACCACTTGGCGTCCCGTCCGCAACGTCTGAGCCAACAATGCCAACAAATCAACGGAGGAGATGCAACACCCACGATATACAATTGACTCTGAGAGCACCGTCATATCCTGCAGCCCACCCTGTCGACTTCCGCTGGCCTCGCAGCGCCGCCCGGTCGAGACAGCGGCTCGTTCGCCCGGTTTCGTTTGCAGTCCCAGCCTCATTGGCGACTTGTCTACAATCATGCGCGGCTGACTGGCCCCGCCACCGACTCACCCAGCCCAAAGTATAACTTGAGATGGATCTCAAGAACATGAACCTACTGGGGACAGGAGAAAGCATTGGATAGAGCCCGCAGTGCTTGATGTGCAGGAACTCTCCCGCTGCAATGGTCCCCCCCCCTTCCAACCCGTCCGTAGTCGTGGGGTGCCTGGTCTAATGTCGCCATTTTCCTGAGCTTATGCCTTCTGACGCTTGGTTACATGGTCTCACACATCCAACACACGTACAAGTCTTTTTTGCGTAACCCAACACTCGGGCCAGGGCCGCACACCGCAGAGAGACCGCGGAGCCATGTTTCGATGGCCAGGACGGTGCCGCGCAGCCGGCCGTAGACCGCCAATCTGATAGACTCTCTGGCAGCAACTGACTTGCCACGCATCCGTTTGCCGCGGCAATTAAGCAATCCCACCTGACGGGCTGATATCCAGCTTCGCGGACCACGAACCCCTCCCCTCATCGGAACGACTGGACTCAACCTTTTGACAAAGCCTCTCTGCATTGCAAAGCGTCTGTCTAATCAACATCAAACACCACACCAAACCAAAATACTCCACGCGCAAAGCTTCTCGCCCCCATCCATCCATCCCCTCCTCACAGGGCGTTAGGGCTGGCTCCTGTGATGGCACCAACAGGCTCTCAAGCAACGTGTCGAGTCCCACAGCTCTCAGGATGTGACAGCTTGCACGTTTGCGGGTTTGGCAATGCCCAGGCGCTGCCGTCCCAAAAAAAGACATCGTTGAAAAAAGGTCGACTCTCCACTTCAAGAGTCCACAGTTCCCATAACTACTTCACCGGCTCGTTCGTCGTCGTCTCTTCCGGATGCTTCATCCCTGGCTCCCAACTCACAAGGGCCCAACCCTGACAACGGCATCCCTATTTCCACCTGCCTGGCCTCACCTGTGAGGACCCGCCGAATGGAGGCCGGGTTAGGATCTGGTCTGTGAGAAAGGGCCAGATGAGAACGTCCGCCTGCTACCTACGTAATCTGACAGGACGGGTCGTACTCTACGAGTTTCAATCGTGACGTGGACAGTAGAGTCTCACATGCTCCTGGAAACGGTTTCTGATGCCCATACTGCGGTATCCCAATTCCTCTTTGCCATCTTGGCCTAACCCGAGGTTCATATACAATGGGGACGTGTTTTTGTTGGTGTGCAAACTATGGAATTTTCGTCATGAACAGCCCTATCCCTGAATACTAAAGACTCCCAAAACACCATGCTGCCTACCGTCGTGATCTTGGCACTTCATACAACTATCAATGCTCGAGTCCGTCATTCGTTCCTCGTGTCTCTAGACGCCCAGTCTGTTGGCCAAGGCCGCCTTCTCCACAACCCAGCGCTCCTTGTCATCTCCAATCTTCCTGCGGAACATGCCCAGGTCGCTTAGCAGGCTGCGCATGTACTCCTGCATGTCGCTGGCATTGTCCTCCATGACGTCCGAGTCGTACGCCGTGTCGTCTGAGTCATCGTATAATGACTCGGCGTCGTCCACGGCCTCCTTGCCGTTTGGCCCCGCCGGTTTGTCTTTCTGAGTCTCGCCCTCTACTTCCTCCGGCTGGGGTGGCTTGATCGTGACGGCTGGGATCGGGTTCTTGATGCTCTCGAGCGCGAGCTTGAGGTGCAGTCGCAGCGCTTCGTTCTCTGTCTGCAGGCTGCGGATCTTGCCCTCCGCGACGAGGCTGCGCTCCTCCATCATGCGCTGCATCGTGGCAACGTGGTTCTGGTATTCTTCCAGCTTCTCCTCCTGGTCCTTGGTGTCCTTCTCCCGCCGTCGTGACTCCGATACCGACAGCTGGAGGGCGCGAATCTCCTCCGCCATGGCCGCAATCTGAGCGTCTCGCTCCGCAGACGAGATCTGGTCCTGGTTGACGATTGCGCGCGTACGGATACGTTTGGCCTGGTCTGCGTAACGGAGCGTTGACAAGGTTTCCTCGTAATCCGAAGGCGCAATGCAGGCGATCATGGCCGTCTTGCTGTTGCCTCCCAGCGAGTCCTTCAACAGCCACGTGAGAATGGAGTCTCGGTACGGGACGACGTCCTTGTTGCGCTTCCTCGAGCCCGGCTTCGCATCGGCGAGCGCTCCTATCACTCGACCAAGCGTCGTCAGCGACTTGTTGATGTTGCTACCCTCACGAAGTCGCTGGCCCGTTGCCTCAGTCGCCTTGGCGCGCTCGCTGCCGGCCAGATCGACCAGTCGAATGCGCGAGCTGCGCTCCGTCGTCTCGTCCGTCTCCATGTCGTGATGGATCTGCTTGAGCATAATGGTGAAGACTGCGTGACTGCGACTGCTGGTGTCGTTCATCCGGGTGCTGGCCACGGTCCTCGATCGGTCTCCCATGGTCATGTACCGCAGGATCTCGTTGAGATTCCGGACTGGCACCTCGGTCAGGTCCTTCACGTACGGTCCCTCTGTCGGCGACTCTCTGATCTTGAGGTAGTAAGGCGGCTGGTTTGGCACAACCGGAACCAGCAGATCGCGGACGTGCTCGTTGTACACCTCAAAATAGGAGACTCTGACGTTGTAGGAGATGTTGGGCGTCTCGTTCTGCGCAGCCTCGATCCGTTCGAAGAGATCCTCGCACGTTCGGGGAATCAAGCCCGGCTGGTCTGGCGTGCCCATCATCGTGTAACTCTTGCCGGAACCCGTCTGACCGTAGGCGAAGATGCATGTATGGTAGCCCTCGAAGTTGTGGTCGAGGAACTCCTCGCCCAGACTGTTGTAGACTTCCTCCTGGTGCGCATAGTACTTGTCGTTGATGTCGTGACTCCAAAAGGAGTTATCGAATGTGAACGACTTCTCCTCGATAATCTTTCGGGTCTTCGCTTTCGCATTCGCTGGGTCATGGTCGTTCGGCACAAGGAGCGTCGTCTGCTGAGTGATGGGGTCCATCTCTACCAAGCACTCGGCTCCGCGCTCAATTTCTGCATAGTCTGATCAGCTTCATGCAGCATATGTCGGCGATTCCCGTACCTCTGGGCAGAAACGCCCGGACCCGGACGACGACCCGGACATTGCCTCCCCCGTCCATCTTGACCGGTCCATCGTGCGACCGCAGCGACGGGGTTGAAGCAGACGAGTATAGAGACGGCATCTCAGAAACCACTGGCGGCAGTAGTCGATGGTCGAGAGACAATCCTCGCAAGGTCAGCTTCAGTTCGTCGAGAATTGCGCGGTATCGATGTCGTTGTGAAGCCCACATCCCAACTCGAGGCGGTCGGGCTTGTTTACTCGGTTGCCCGATTGGGAAGAATTCTGGTGGGGCCGAGTTGCCGGGGCAGTGACGCCACACTTCCTGTGCGGTGTGTTGTCCGCCTGGGGTAACAAGCAGGGGTTGTGGTACGTATTCCTCCGCAAGTTGAAAGTTTGCCGATTTGCACTCGTGTTGATGCAATGGAATGGTTGTCAAAAAGGAAGGGAAACAGTGGCCATTACGATGGATTGAGAAGGAGGCGCTGCTCCGACGACTGAGAAAAGAAATATGCCAGGCGGTGGTCAGCTTCACCGTGAAGAGGTCGGGCAAAACTTTGCAGTAAACAAATGGTCTATGCAAACAAAAGTCTAGTAAACAGTCCGACACCTGTCTGACGGTGCCAACGCCCAACGCCACGCCGCCTAATGTCGTCTAGTCCCCATTACGGCCGTCTAAGTCCCTTGCCCAAGAGCTCAGCGCCCACCTCTGCTATCATCTTCTCATTGGGGAACTGCTTCTTCTTTGCCAGAATCGTATCCTCTGCGTCCATTGCCCTCAGCAGATCTGTCACTTCACTATCAGCCGGTGCGCAGTAAACCAAGTTGCCCAATGCAAGCAGCATGCCCTGAAGAGCCTCTGGTGAGGACTCCTCCTGTCCTATGGCCTCCAAGACAGATGCAGCCAGTTCGACCATGTCGCCCTCGAGCAGCACGCCCCCCGACTTCTCTCGTCTTGCTTTGTTGCTGAACAACGCCAGGTTAAACATGAGCGAGGAAGCGGAGACGCGGACATTGTTGTGATTGTCGTCAAGGAAGCTTGACGAGATCAACTGGATGATCGGAGCCCTCAGCGCCTCGTTGCGAAGGATTTCTTCTGGGAACAGTGGTGTTGAGAAGAAATTGCACGCCATCTGTAGCGTTACCAATCGCAAAGCGTAGGGGCATTCGCTGTGCGAGTTGACAAAGTTGAGAATTGCCAAGACAGTCTTGTGCTCCCGCTCCTCGGCAAAGTATCCGCTGAACCTGGCGTCAACAAGCCCGCATCGGAAGAGATCGACAATGGTGAACAGAGTCTCGACAGGCAGAGACTGGATCGACTTTTGGACGAAAGCCGAAACCTCACCCATGTTTGGGAGAATAGCGGCTGCGGCGCCCTGTTTGTCGCGGGCCTCGACAAATTGCTTCATCCCCTGAACGGCTGACTCGGTTGCCGTTGGACCCATCTTGCCCAGCAGCTTGGCCAGTGGCGGTACCTTGGAGAACAGCACTGGTTTCGCATTCGGATTGGAGAAGCTTGGGAGGTTAAGGGACTCATGGGGGTGTCGCGGCCAAGCCATCTGTAGCAAGAGCTGGACGTTGCTTCGCAGAGCAGCGGGATCAGCACCCGCCCACTCATTCTCCTTCTCTCCGTGTAGAAACGTGATGAAGGTCGGGGTTGCGCGGGGGTAGCTCTTCCCGGGAAGCGGTGTGAGCTGGGCGACGTCGACCTTGATGAAAGCGGCCTTATCGCCGGCTTCGGCGGACAGCTCATCAAACACGGGCGAGACAACTCTGCATGGAGGGCAGGTCGCAGAGGTGAACAGAACAACGGCGCATGACTTGTTTGCAGCCTCGAGAGCATTATCTAGCTCCTGAGAGCTGTGGACGACTTTGACCTTGGCTTGGGGCTTCGTTGGCTGCGGTGCTGAGCCGTATCCGTTGGTGGAAGGGGTGTTCTGGATACCAAGAATCGAGCCGTTCTGTCTGCTGGAGTTGATGGTTTGATTCAGTTGAGGCATGAGCATTCTGCCCATTGGGGAGCTAAGTACAGCATCGGGCATCTTGATGATGTGTTCTGGGATGCCTTTCCCGAGCAGGAACTGAGCAAGCGAATCTGAGAAGTTGTTGCAGTTGTGTTTCCATAAGTCGTATGCCTGGGAGCTGGTAAGCCTTTTCCGATCTGCAAGAAGTCTAGAACAGATCTCACCTCAACTGTAAAGATCGGCCTGAGTGAATCTAGAAATTCCTCAATCACGTCCATAGGCAGTTCCGTCTTTCCGAGAAAAATCCGCTCCATAGGTTGCCCCAGGTGAGATGACCCAGGAGTGATCGCGACGATGCCGCCGTCATAGACATATTCGCGACCGTTGAGTTGAATCGATGTGTGATAGATTGCGTCAAGATGGAACCCGAGCATGCCCTGGGACATCTGCCGGGCCAGACCTCGGGATAGATCGTACACCAAGAGATGCACATCCATGTTGATACAAATATAGGGCAACTGAGGGCCACACCTATTCGAGTGATTGTGGTAATGAAATTCGAGGTGACGCTGTTGATCCAAAGCAAAGTGACTATAAGAAGACGTCTCAAGGTGGGGTCTCCTGAATTGTTTCCAGTCCTCAATTATGTACTATCAACATTGGAGGCACCAGTCGCAGTCGTAATTGATGATGGCTGAGAAGCTTCCAGGGACCTGTCACGGTGTCGGATTCGGCGGAATGCGCCACACGTGGCTTGCCACCATGGTGATCGATAGTCGCTATTACATAAGTGTTGGTCAGTGCACATGCCAGATTGACTCGCTGCCTGCAAAGTGGCCAGTCCCCTGGAGTCTAGTAAGCTAGAGGAGCGATCAAGGAACGCAAAATGGGGTTCAGGAGGAGGCACAGAGCATTGTAGGGGGCCGCAGCAGGGAATGGCAGGCCCCGCCCCCTAATCGCGGAGCCATTAAGCGGGACGCGAGATGGGCGTTCAAAGCGTTGTAGACTTTCCAGCAATCTAGTGGGCTCGCGTCGTCCCCGCTGCCGCGCCCAAGATTAGCAAACTGCCACCTTCAGCAGGGGTGTCTGGATTTTGATGACCTCTCAGAGAAGAGAAAATCTGCAATTGCCATCAAACCCCCTTCGCGGCCACCGTACCTTGCATCTCTGGCTCCCCCTTGGCGCCTCCTTACATATACGAATTTCGCCCTTTTTTCCTGGTGTCGTGGCACTGTCCCATCCGCTCCTTTCTTGGCTATCCGCACCATTTTTTGCTTCTCTAGTCACCGTGCTGCCGCTGCTACCTCTGTAATCGGCTCTCGGTCCAAGTCCATTCCTTTATTCCCCCCTCTCGACGGCGGCGTATCTTGAATGCGCCACCTTGTGTTCACCTAACTCCTCAACAACACGCGACCAATGCGAAGAACATCTGTGTCGCTGCCAACGAAGCAACCCGCCCGAGATCCACACGAGAAACCCGGTCGATTCGCACCTGCTCAACGGAATACTGGTCTGTTCGCGGCGCTGAGAGATATGTCTCAAGCACAGAAGACGAGGTGGATGAGGACGGGCGCCATCGCCTTCTTCGTCGTCTTCCTCTTCTGGTATCTGTCCCCCCGAGGTGTCAACGTCTACAATGGCGGAGGAGGTATGTAGCCATGCCATCCCGGCCGGCGAGGATGCTAACAAGGAATAGTCTCGAAGGGCGGCGCCGACGGCCAAGTCCCCGCGGATGCCTCCTACGGCACCGACAAGTGCACTCAATCCAGTTCCAAGTCGAAGCCCATCGTCCAGTACGTCCTGATGATCGACGCTGGCAGCACGGGATCCCGAATCCATGTCTACAAGTTCAACAACTGCGGTCCTACCCCCGAGCTCGAGCATGAGGAGTTCAAGATGACGGAGAAGTCGGTCGGCGGTCTCAGCAAGTACAAGGACGATCCCGAGGCCGCTGCCACGACTCTCGACGCTTTGATGGAGGTCGCCATGCAAACCGTTCCCGACAAGCTCAAGTCCTGCAGCCCTGTCGCGGTGAAAGCGACGGCTGGGCTCCGCATGGTCGGAGCTGAGAATGCCGAGAAGATTCTCACGGCTGTCCGCAACCGTCTCGAGACCAAGTACCCCTTCCCCGTTGTCGCCAAGGAGGAGAACGGAGTCGCCATCATGGACGGCGCTGACGAGGGTGTCTACGCCTGGATCACGACCAACTACCTCCTCGGCAAGATCGGCGGCCCCGACAAGAGCCCCACTGCTGCCGTGTTTGATCTCGGCGGCGGCTCTACCCAGATTGTCTTCGAGCCCACCTTCAAGGGAGCTGCGGACGGAGGCATGCCGGAGAAGCTTGCTGAGGGCGACCACAAGTATGACCTTGCCTTCGGCGGACAAAAGTTCGAGCTCTACCAGCACTCCCATCTCGGATATGGCTTGATGAGCGCCCGCAAGGCCGTCCACAAGACCTTGATTCAGGAGATCTTTGAGAGCAAGAAGTCCGACGACAGCTGGGTCAAGCAGCCCATCGTCCACCCGTGCATTGCTCCCGGCATGGTTCGGGAGGTCGAGGTCGAGCTGGACGACAACCACCCTCTTGGCAAGACGGTGACCTTCAACATGACCGGACCTTCTCAGGCCGCCCCCGCTCAGTGCCGCAACCTCGCCGAGAAGATCCTGAAGAAGGACGGGGGTTGCAAGCTCGCTCCCTGCTCCTTCAACGGTGTTCACCAGCCCTCCCTCGCCAAGACCTTTGGCCGTGAGGATGTCTACATCTTCTCCTACTTCTACGACCGAACCAAGCCCCTTGGCATGCCCGACTCCTTCACCCTCCGCGAGATGCACGACCTCGCCAACTCCGTCTGCGGCGGCGAGAAGTCGTGGGACCTGTTCGCCAGCATTCCTGGCGCGCTGAAGGAGCTCCAGGGTCGCCCGGAGCACTGCCTTGACCTTAACTTCATGATGGCCCTACTCCATACTGGATACGAGATGCCCATCGACCGCGAGGTTAAGATTGCCAAGAAGATCAAGGGCAATGAGCTGGGTTGGTGCCTTGGCGCTAGGTAAGCAGACACACCATTTGGACTTGTCGATCAATGCTAACAAAGTATACAGCTTGCCGCTCCTCTCTCCCGGCTCCGGCTGGAAGTGCAAGGTGAACCAGGTCAACTGAGTCAACAAGCCGTCCTGTGGCGACGTTGCGCGGGCCTCCCTGACGTTGACTGGCTTGTAGTTTTATAGATTTTTAATTCCACGACAGAAATGGGAATGTTCGATTACGAGTTGTTGTATTGGAGACTTACGAAGGTTATATGGCGGATGCAGGAACACGCATCAGTACACACACCAAAGGGCGGGCGTTCTATGTCTTGTATGGTTTCCATGGGTTTCAAGGATGAAAGGCTCGTCGAGCTCGGCCATTTAGAATAAACCACGCTCGCTGAACGTTACTTAAGTCTGCATTCAAAGCGGTGCCGCCACCATGCCTATGACATCCTCGATAACGTCCTCTGGGCCAATCCCCTCAAGTATGGCCTCGATGGCCTCCAGCTGACTGCCCCACTGCATGCTCCTCTCCTGTCGAGGGTGCACGATCCGGATCCGATGCAAGTAGACTTTCCTAATGGCCAAGTGAACGAGAGCGGGCGTGACATAGTCTAGACGATGCAACGGAGCGAGGCACTTGAGCATCTGGTCTAGGTGTTTTGTTGCGACCGGCTCGATTCCGCCGGCAACTGCGCGGTGCATCCTCAAGGACGTGACCATGTTCGTCTGGTAGCGCAGCACGTCCACGTCGATGTGCACCTCCCGGCTGAGCTTTGCAAGAGCCGCGATGTCCTACATGGAGTCAGCTCATATTGTACCCGTCTCACGAACACATTCACTTACACCTTCGCTCAAAACAGGATCATCACTGACAGCCAGCATGTCTCCATTGATGCTTTTCTTGACCACGCTTTCGGTGCTGGCCGTCTCGGCGCCGTCGGTGGCATCATACGCTTCGTCCAAGTTGGCAAAACCATCGTCAGGGTCATGCCAGTGGGCGACGAAGAAGTAGTCGTTCAGATGTAATGTGACGTGGGCCTTGCCGCCGCTCTCGGCACCCAAAGCAGCCACGAAGAGGAACTGCTTAGGGGCGGTCTGGACGGAGGTGCGAGTGAAGATGCGGCGCGTGCGGAGCAACTCGAGGACCTGGATCTGCACGGCCTTGGGGGCGCGATCGAGGTTCCGGGCCAGGACAACGTTGGCAATGGAGTAGCCCGCTGCGCCACCGGGGCCGGTCGGGCTCGAGGCGGTGACGGAGGTCAGCGGCGAGATGCCCGCGCGGGAGAAGAAGTAGGAGGGCTCATTGCGGGTGCGGAGGGGTGAGCCGGATCTCGTTGCTGTGGGAGACGGAGCGGTGAGGATCGAGGATGCAAAATCCTCTAGGGTGGTTTGCGGAGTGCAGTCCACTACGGCGCACGTCAGACCAAAGGTCTTGGTTGCGATCTGGATTGGGTCAGCGTCTGAACAGCACTATGGTCAGGGGCGTACGCACGAGCTGAAGCTCCTCGATGAGCTCGTTGAGGGCAACAGGTGGGGTGCTGACGATGCAGTGTTCTCGGTTGACCAGGCACAGCAGGGCGGCGAGCTCAAGGTCGCTCAGGCCGTGGACCTTGGTCAAGAGATCTTCTTCATCCGCCATGAGGATCGGGTGAGATGTGTGTCGAAGGTCCCATCAGCGCATGTTGGGCTACGGATGTAGTCTTGCGGCGTGCTCGTCCACGGCGGCATACATGTGATGCGAGAGACCAGGAGGCGGTGATGGAGGTCTTAGTCTCTTGGGAACCGTGAGCGAGTGTGTGCTCCTTCTGCCCCCCAGCCGCCTGGACCGTCGTTGAGATGAGATGCAAACTGTGGCTGGAGCAGCATTGGGCGTCATGTGGGGGGAGTCCGCTACAGCAAGGTAACGTTCAGGCGCTTCAGTGCTCTGGCAATCATGCCAGCGTCATGCAGCACCTTTTGGGACTCGCATTTAGGTAGCCCGCCTTACGTCAGCCACCTTTGCAACAGTGGAATGCACCTGACGAAAGACCCCCAAGACCGTTTCCTGGTTAGTCCCAGCGCAGCAAGCAGCTCTTTGATAGGCTGAAACCTGGAAATGTGACGGGAGCTCTCAGTACCGCAGGCTTCCCTGTCAACCTCCACCATCACTCTCTGTCCTTCGATCTGTATCGGCCTGCAGTCGACTCCAACCAACCACCCCTGAAGCACGACACCGGTCCATTTTTGACCCTTTCGACATCCGAACCGATCTCTGACCCAGCCGCGACGCAGAAACTCTCTTCGATTGCGCAGACCGACGACTGTTGACGCCAGACTTTCCCCCAACTTTAACTCCCACATACCCCAACAATCCACGATGTCATCGAGAAAGAAGGTCCTTCTCAAGGTGGGTTTCCCTCGGCGCCACCGACACACGACTCTTTGCGGCATAATTGACGGGATCGTTATCTTTGCAGGTCATTATCCTTGGCGATAGCGGTGTCGGCAAGACGAGTTTGATGAACCAATATGTGAGTTTCTGCCTATCAACCTGTCAACAACCGGGAGGAGGCTGAGCGCTGGCTGACTTGACGTTTCATCGGATCTAGGTCAACAAGAAATTCAGTGCAAGCTACAAGGCCACGATCGGCGCCGACTTCCTGACGCGCGAGGTTCTCGTCGACGACCGCCAGGTGACGATGCAGGTGGGCAAACGCCGATACGGTACCCGATCACGTAACAGGGGCTATGCTGATGACGGACGGTAGCTCTGGGACACGGCCGGACAGGAGCGTTTCCAGTCTCTAGGCGTTGCCTTCTACCGCGGCGCCGACTGCTGCGTGCTCGTCTACGACGTCAACAACTCCAAGAGTTTCGATGCTCTGGACAGTTGGAGGGACGAGTTCCTCATCCAGGCTTCGCCGCGCGACCCCGACAACTTCCCATTTGTTAGTTGCTGTTGATGGTTGAGATGACGGAGATTGGCGCTGATAACGGACCAGGTCGTTCTCGGAAACAAGATCGATGTCGAGGAGAGCAAGAGAGTGGTGAGTGTGCCCGGGAATCACTGATGCCCGCCCCAGGTGCTAACGGCTTGTAGATCTCTACCAAGCGCGCGATGACCTTCTGCCAGTCTAAGGGTGGAATTCCTTACTTCGAGACCAGTGCGAAGGAGGCCATCAACGTCGAGCAGGCTTTCGAAGGTTGGTTTCATCCAATGCGAGCTTAGGAGTGGTACTGACATCATCAACTAGTCATCGCGCGGAACGCCCTCGCCCAGGAGGAGTCTGAAGAGTTCAGCGGGGACTACCAGGATGTCATCAACATCCCCATCGAGAACCCCCGGGACGGATGCTCTTGCTAAGTAGGTGTCGGTTGAGTCGGTTGATGTTGAGCGAGAAGTGGACTTGGGGCGGCACGCAGTATCGGGGCCTGTCCAACTCGCATTATGTTTAGTCCATGGGCCTTTCCACATATCCATTTTGGCCTTCGCTTGATGTAGCATATCCTGCACTGGTGTGAACGGTGTTTAGAGGTTTCATTTGAATTTATTACGGGTTCGTTTGTAGGATACCAACCTTTACCGACCTGCGATGTGATGAGTTTCGTCCCAGAGTGCCGGGCAGGACATGCTCCCACCATGGCCTATGAATGATTGCTTAGTACGACCACCCTCCCGATTTGCAACATCGGCGAACCGAACGACATCTCGCACTTAGTCGGACATTCGATGTTAAGCACCGGCTAGAGTTGACGGACCATGTTTGCCGTCCGTCATGAGACTCCGCTCAAAAGACTGGATCCAAGGCCGCACTAATGCTTCAAGCCTGGGGACCGGCAGCAATTCCGACCTGGCAACCATTCTGCAAGCCGCCGCGCGGCGTCATGCTTGGCTTTATCCAGCGGCGGCAGAGAAAGAGCCGAGTCTTGTTTTCTGAGCAAATGCGTGTCGAAAAAGAACGGAGTAGGCAGGCTGAGACTTTGAGACGCAGTGGCACGCGACCGGCCCACGGCGATTGGTTGGCCGGTACTCGGGGGTGAGTACAGGGGGCGTTATGGCCCGTGCCAGTGAAACTCAACCTTGAAGAAACACCCTTAATCAACATTGACACGAATCCCTCTTTGAAAGGTAAACGCACGTCGACAAAAAACTCCGGACGACTCGTCCGACAAGAGAAGCGTGCCAGGCTTCCCTGTGGGTTTGTGGTCACCGGTGTTCCCACTTCGAATATCGTCATACCCTCACCCTCGACGGCCCGAGAACACAGTTGGCGTACGGCAATCCTTGCCGGGCTCACATGCGCCGAGTCAGCAACGAGACATTCAACCACCGCCCCCTTGGACACATTCATCCACGAAGCTCGAATTCTCTGTCACTGCCTCCCTGTGGTCAAATGCCTACGGCGTCGGCGATCTTGGACTACCAGACGGCGGACGATCCTTCCTGAAACTCCCCCCTTCGCGACAGATCGCGAACCCCCGAACCGAAGATGGCACCGAGCGAGCCCATGCTGCCCGCTGCGATAGCTCCCGAGCCACACGGCCGTCCCTCAAGGAGGTCCTTTTCGAGCACCGACCGACTGAGCGCGTCTGTTGCGTCTACGAACCGGTCGAGGTCGACGGCGCGGTCCTCGGGATGGCAGGCGAAGATGGGACTGGGCGGCGTGGCGAGGCGGACGTTGGGTATTTCGCTACTGCTTGTGACGGTGTTGCTGTGGACGGTATCCAACTTTTTGGCATCCGTATGCGCCGGACCCCTTTCCAAGACGCTGGTGGATCTGGGCTGACGATGGACAGTACATTTTTTCGGATCATTCCTACGACAAGCCATTTTTTGTGGTATACATGAACACTTCGGTCTTCGCGGTATCTTTGATACCGATGCTGGTGCGTTTTCTGATGCAGCACGGCATTGAGGGCCTGCGGCGCGAGGCTATGGTGGTCTGGAACGAGCAGCGACACGGCAAGGCGAGCCTCAAGACGGCCGAGGACGAGGAGGACACGGTCGCGGGCGAGCGGCTGCTGGTGGACGATGAGCCGAGCCTGGAAATGGAGGGGTTCGAGATGACCAAGCCCGTGGAGCGGCTGACGTTCCGGGAGACGGCCATCATCAGCCTCGAGTTCTGCATGCTGTGGTTCTTTGCGAACTACTTTGCGTCGGCGTGCCTCGAGTACACGAGCGTCGGGAGCGTGACGATCCTCAACTCGACGAGCAGCGTGTGGACGCTCGTCTTCTGCGCGCTGATGGGTGTCGAAGGGTTCACGCTGCGCAAGTTCATCGGCGTGCTCGCGTCGCTGACGGGCATCGTCCTCATCTCGACGGTGGACCTCTCCGGCTCGAGCGACGAGAACCGCGGGTCGTTCCCGCACAAGACGACGGCGCAGATCGCCATCGGAGACATGATGGCGTTTGTGAGCGCCATCATCTACGGCCTCTACGTGACTGTGATGAAGAGGCGGGTCGGCAACGAGGACCGGGTGAACATGCCGCTCTTCTTTGGTTTGGTCGGCCTATTCAACCTGGTCTTCCTGTGGCCGGTGTTCTTCATCCTGCACTTCACCGGGATGGAGCCAGTGAGTTGCCCCGTCTCCCCTTCAAAGGTGTACTGCTTAACATCACCTAGTTCGCCTTCCCCCCCACGGCTAAGATCTGGGCCATCGTCATTAGCAATTCGCTGTCGTCCTTTATCAGCGACATGTCGTGGGCGTACGCCATGCTACTCACGACACCGCTGGTGGTGACGGTAGGCCTGTCGCTGACGATCCCGCTGTCGCTCGTCGGCGAGATGATCCAGTACTCGCAGTATTCCAGCTGGGTATACTGGGCCGGCGCGGCGGTGGTGCTCATCTCCTTTTTGTTCATTAACAACGAGAGCCACGAGGATGAGTCGGGTGATCATGGCCCGGAGGCAGGATCCCGGGCGACACACTCATAGAACTGGTATAGAGAGGAGCTATCGATGGGCACAGCGTGGGAACACACGTATGCATAGATCACGGCGTTCTAAGAAGCATGGCGTCTCCAGTATTTTGGATTACCTGGAGCGCAAACACGGGCACAGCGTCCTGTCTGCCCTATATTGTTATTAATATAATAACTCGCATCGAGAAAAAAAACTCCACCCTACATTATGGATGTCTTGTGAACAACGCTGTAGCAGGGTCAGGGCGAGAGGGTCCATGGCGGTTGACGCGGCTTCACGGGGCACTGGGCAATTTGCAGGCTGAATCATTCCTCGTCCGACGTGCGGAAGATTCGCAGGAGTCGATCGCACGATGAGAGTGGACATTCCTGCAGCCGTAGCGGAGCCGCCGCCGCCACTTGAAGCGACGGTCGGGAACACGAGGGCATGGTTGGTCGGTGAAGATTGTCAAGCACATGCAGGCAAGGTGGGCTGGGAGAGGGTGGCCGTTTCGGACCATGAACACGAGACGGGATTCTGGAGAATGCGATGGGCAGGCTTTGCAAAAGACGATGTTTGCTCGTTTTGGGATGGGATCGACGGCGTCGTGGTGGGAGGGGGAGGAGCCCGCTCAATCGGATGCGCCGCCGTCCTTTGGCCTGCCTCCACCGCAACCAGTAAGACTGGGAAGATGGCTCAGTCTTTCGCGGTCTCCTGGTTGTCAATCTCCAGAACTGTTGAAGCATGGGAGATTTTCGGGTGCTTGAGTGCTTGGGCCTGCTGGGCTCTCCCCTGTTGGCTGGTAGAGTTGCGGGAATTTGGAAAGTTTGCTGACACCTTATTTCAGGATACCTCTGGAGTCCTATTGACCCATGTGGTCAGTGAGTCGGAGAGGAGGGTAGTATTGAGCTTGATATGGTGGGCAGAAAATGCCGGAGAGGCGAGAACAGACTTTTGTCGAGTTGGGTATGTCCCGTTGTGCAAAGTCTCGAAAGCTTCTTCGAGCGCCAACACGGAAGAGGGGAACGACAGGACAGGACAGACGCAGCAGACGACCGGCGAAGAGAATGGAAAGCGAAAAGACTGGCAGTGGGTTGACAGGTACCGCGGAACCGCAGGACCGTGGACCCCCCTCTCATCGGAGTTGATGGCCTGCCAAAAAGTCGATCGCTGGGGTCGGAAGACGCTTCCTTCTGCAGAAGGACCCGAAAGCCCTGTCCCAAAGTGCCAGGAGCTAAAGAAGAGTTCAAGGGACTAAGGGGACTTGGGAGAATCGAGCTCAGTACTGCTATGGCAGTGTCTCTCCCAGCTTCCAGGTTCGCCAACCGGCACAAAGACGGATTACCCACGGGGATGGCATGAAGGAAACATACATGAAGGAGACAGGCAGAATAAGAAATGCGGCAAGCCACATACAATAGCATTGGCATTAACCCGCTTGATTTCCGGCGCAACAATTAGCCAAATGCAGAGCGACGTAGCAGTGCTCCGTGTTCGATGCGAATCCAGCCCGACGGGAAAAGTGGCCCTACGGGGCGAGACCACCGAACTAGGAGGCCCATGCCCGCAAAAAGGCCCCTGTATCTGATGTCCTGGTCTCTCCACAGCCCCTGCCCCTTGCCCCCCGCCCTCCCCCTCTCCAGCGCCTCTCTCTGCTCGCTTTCAGTTCGTCTGTCACGCCCAAAAAGCGTTGGTAGGGTACCCGAACCGCAATCCCAGTTTATTTTATCCAGGATGCTTTTGTGATATTCGCTGGCGGAAAATGCTAAACTATTCGCCTCCTAATGACGAGGGGCGGCGACTTTTGTGGCTCCAACCCGAGGTCGCAGGCCTAATATGATTTCATCCAATGATCCTGGAACCTGTTTCTGAGATACCCACGGCAACTTGGGCCGGAGAGGCAAAAACTAGGCAAAGAACCACTCTCGGTTCTCGTTTATCGACTTTGGGGATAGCATCCCACGAGGCAGACGAGACTTGGTCCCCATCTCGAGACATCAGCTCACTTTCGATTCCTTATTCCTACGCCAGCGATCCTCTTTCCGTCCATCCCACCACCGCCCCGCGAGACAAACGAAACATTCCCGGTCAAGACCTGTGGCATCTTCAATCTTCAATGGTCGAGACTCCACGATTCAAGCCGCACAACTGGTTTTCTGAAGCCTCTCTGCCCACCCTCCCACCTTCGACCTCGCCGAGGCTAGCCTCTTTCTACCCAGCCGGCCGGGCCCTGTCTATGTGCCCGTCTCCTTTGGATCTTTAACTTTTCTTTGTCCTTGTCAATAGACGTGCCAAAGTGGAATATTCTCTCGAGTACGGTTACACTAGCTCCCATCCCCCCTTGCCACCTATCTACCCGAACCCTCAACCGCGAAGGAGAGAAAGCTGCCTGGACTCCCACGAGGCTCCTGTTGGTAGTTTGCGCGCATTGTGTCGTGGACCAGGTGACCTTCCTTAGCTTCGGCGAGAGCTCTGACAGCGCTCTCTTTGGTGCTTTCCCTGCCCCTGCGCTTTTACCTTCCGCTGCTGTTTAGCCGTTGCTACCTCACAAAGCACAGCTGTCACTGGCTCAACCTTTTCCCCGGACGAACAGCCAGAGAAACACCCGATCATCACTGGCTTCGACACTCTGCTGAGGATCGACGCTACCGCTGCCGATTTTGGTCACATCTGCGCTGTCCCTCCCTCTGCTTGCTGCCTTCCTTGTATTGCACCTCCAGATTCACACCAGAGGCCTCGAGAAGGAACGGCGAGGAGCAAAGTCTTCTAGGACTGTCGACCTTCGATCAAGAGCCCGTTTCCCCTCTGCCTCTGTTTCGATTCGACTTGACCAACCGCAACACCTCGGACCTCCATCACACCAAACATCTATTACTCACCAAAGTTGCTCTCGTTCCCAGTACGAGCTGTTTACTCGGCACCGCCTAGAATTTTCTGTATCCCTCAAGTCCTACGTATATCTGCGCCACGCCCCGATCACGCACCCTGCACCTCTTCCTATAAGCCGGCCGCTGCACACCTCCGTCCAAGGAGGCTGGACGTAGCAAAACGCCGCCTCGCCGACAGCTCGTGGCTATGACTTCACCAGCGACACCGCCGGCTGAAGACAATCAACGTCCCCTGTCAGAGTCCATCGCCGCCGCAACCCGGTCCGTCCATGCGAAGCTTAACAAGCTGATTGTCGCCCGCCTGCCGCTGGCGATCCCTCCTCACGCCGCCGACCCGTCCGTCTATGTTTCCGGTCTGCTTCACATTGCACCCATCTACGCTACCTTCGAGTCGCTATGGAAGACCCTTGTGGAATCGCCTCTACCTACTGTGGCCGGTGTACAAGGTGATGGCCACCTGAACCTCTTTCCGTCAAATCCAGAAGGTTTGCTCTCAGCCTCTAGCGATGGGTCTCCATCGAAACATCAAGTTGCCCTTTGCGAGCGGACACGCTCGATCTTGACGTCGTTGTACCTGCCAGGACTTATGCGCTCTGACCGGCTGCGGTCCGACATTGGATCTATAACAGGATGGTCCCCTGAGGTCGTCGAGGAGCAACTCAAAGCCGTCGCAGAATCGGGGCGGCTGGCTGAATTCACGCAGCACGTGAAACGTACCATCGAGAATAAGCCACATGTCTTGTTGGCATATTCATACATCCTCTTCATGGCCCTCTTTGCTGGGGGGAGATTCATCAGAGCGACCTTGGAGTCTGCAGGCTCAGAATTCTGGGCCCAAGTCCCATCACCCATTCCGCCCTCTCAGATAAGTTGTCAAGCAAAGGACCCGTCGACGAGTGTACTGGCTGCCACTGGCATGGGACCAATCGACATGATGAGGGGCGACCATAGAACGATCGGCGTTGGCACAAAGCACTCCCGCCATTCACTCCCGCTCGGCTTCTTCCATTTTGCGACAGTTTTGGATGGCGAGGATCTCAAAAAGGAGTTTAAGAAACGGTTATCGGAATCAGAGAGTCTATTAACCCTTCAGGAGAGAAACGACATCGTTCAGGAGGCTGTATGTATCTTCGACAACATGCTACTTCTCGTCGGCCAGCTGGACAACGTCTGTGAGACCAATCTGGAGGATGGACAGGCTTCGCCGCCTTGGGCATCCCTGATATCTGGAGGTCGACTGCGTGACAGCCTAGCGGTTGCTCGAGAAAGGAAGAGGTACAAGACGGCTGCAAAGAGGCCAGAGGACGGCGAGACGTTGGACTCGTGGCTCTGTCGGCACGCGAAACAGAAGGCTTCCAAGACCGCAGGCACACAGGATCTGAGCGACTTGGAGAAGCAGCCATCTGCGTGCTGTCCGGCATCCAGGTCTATGAGATTCGAGCCGAAGCTGCCGGTGCCGCACAGAAAGGAGCACAGCCAGACGCTCCCGACCGACGGTGCGTCTAGTGTCACGACACCCCAACAGCGGTTGCTGTCGCGCTCTGCTGTGTCGTTGATATCCAACATCATTCTCGTGGCGGGCCTGGCGGCGGTTGTCAGCATGATTTTCCTGGCTAGGAGATCGGTGGACGGAAGTTTCATGGTGGAAGAAGAGTGATGGACGGGATGTGGTCTCTGCATCATGGGGCATGGCATAACGAGCTTGGCGTTCTGGAGCGTCTTCCTCTACCCCCCCTCCCCCCCCTTTTATTTTATTTTTGGGATACTGCATGGGATAGATATACGATACCCCCCCTGGTTGGCCTTTTTAGCCTCTTTTAGTTTTTCTTTCCTCTTGTCAACGTACCACGACAGTGGACGTTCTGTAGCTGGCGGGGCGTGAATGGCTATTAGGCGTACAGCCAGCCAACGCCGACGAATCAAACTCGTCATCACCATTATCAAAATGAAAGCTGCTTTCTGACATGTCTCATTATGAACACGGAGGATCGCAAATCCTCCATGAATGCTATGGTATCTAATCCTAGTGCAACGTGAAGCAAAGCAAAGCAAAGCCATGCTAGTCCCATGCAACCCAAACCTCATCGATTTCCTGTGTGTATGTGTGTGTGTGTGTGTGTGTGTGTGTGTGTGTATCATCCATGTTTTGCTTTTCCCAACCAATGCCTTCAAAAGAAACTCGCAAAAAATCGCACCAATCCGGACCTGCGCGCATTATACAATCATACAAGGGCTCAGTTGAGCTCCATTAGGGGGGGGGGTAAAACTCCAGGCGTTCTCCAGTTTCTCGTGGTATGACCATATTCTGACTTGCGGCCCCCAGTTAGGTCATGTCGTCGTGTCGGTATGTCGATCAGCACTCGGAGTGCGAGTCACAGTCCTCGTCCCAGTCGTCCGCAACGTCGGCCCACCCGGCCATGTGCCGGTTGCCACCAAACTCTCCGCCGGTACGGAGGTCCCACGCGTCGCGGCCGCCAGAGCTGTCGTCGTTGCCCTCTTGCCAGTGGCGCACCATGTAGTCGTCCGAGATGGTGACGAGTTTGCCCTCGTTGGACCAGCTCAGCCCCGTGACCTCGCGGCGGTGACCGCGGATGAGGGGCGTTCCGTTGCGGATGATGGGGACTTGGCCACCCGCAGATAGCTTCGAGTTGGACATTGCTGTAGCGTCGGACGTAATGGTGTCAGAAACGGGCAGGTGGCTCTGGGTGTCCCAGTGTTCGCGCATAACTCGCTCGTCGGTGGGGAAAACGACGGCGCATTTGTCTGTGCTGCCGACCGCCAGGAGCTCGGTGCCGGAGGTGGATACAGGGCGGAGGGCGCAGCGGACGTAGAACGATTTGACGTGGAACATGTCATGTTTGAAGCCGTACATCGGGGCCAAACCTTGGACTGCCGAGCCGGCTTTTTGGCGAGGTGGGTGGAGGGACAGTTCAGGGGCGTTGCCAAGCATCAGGTGCGAGGTGGAGTAGGCGTAAACGGTGTTGTCCTTGCAGACGGCGTAGAGACGGGCTGCGTCGCTGCTCAGGGCGAGAGACGTGAGGCCGTAAGGCCGCCAGCGGTGAGTTGGCGGTTCCGCGGTTACGGCAAGGGGCGAGGCCTCTTTGTTGCGCGGCGTGATGTACCGAGTGTCCCAAAGCTTGATGCAGGCGTTTGCCTCAGAGGCGGAGAGCAGGAGATGCTCGCGGCCTGCGGGCATGTAATGTAGCGCGGTGACGGAGGCCGGAGATGTGACACCCTCGATTGTGCGAGCGTGAGCGTTGTCAAGCGTGTTGGCCGTCCTCGCCCACAGGGCCGGCTGGTTCCTGTTCCGGTGTACAATGCCTTCGGGCCCACGGGTGGAAAAGGCGTTGGCTGGTGCCATGCAACATCGCAGGTCCCAGATCTGAATCTTGCCATCGCGGTCTGACGTGGCCACGACATTTCCGTTGGCATGGCCGGGTTGAAACTCGACTCGGCGCATGGATTGGAAGTGACCGCCATTCAGCTCGACAGCGACAGTCTGCGACATGACGTCGAATATCTTGCCTGAGCGGTCGCCGCAGGCACTTGCAAGGCGGAGATCGTCGTCAGAGAAGGCAAGGTCCATGATGGCGTTTTCGTGCGCCTGGATGACGATGTCTACCTTCGATCGAGGCGTTGCTCCCAAGGGGGTCGTCGTGGTGTCGAAGAAGCGGATGAAGCCCTCCTCATCCCCAATCGCCGTCATTGGGGCATCTGCAAAAATTAGTCGTGGCCATGTATGCTAAAGCAAATGGTACCTACTGTGACAGCTCGCAAGACTAAAGGGAATAGTATTCGCCTGAGTCAAATGCGCATTACACATGTGGACGTCAGTGCTTCGGCTCCAGAAGGAAGCGGTGCTAGCCCTCGAGTCTACAAAACGTTAGATGTATAAGTCACTTAAGGGAGTGTGGAAAACACACCAAAAGCAGGATACTCGAGACGCTCACGCCCTGGCCGAGCAGTGCTACCCTGTTCACGGAGTAGAAGCTGGGCGCCAAAGCCGCGATTGCGGAGCTTGATTACGGGCTGTGGTTGGTACTCGGGAACAATCTAATGTCGGTCAGTCAACTGATCACAAATCCCGAGAAAGTCATGCTCACAGGCTCATCCTTTGGCGGCCGAGGAAGCTTTGCAACAGCCGCAACAGACTTTCCTCTGCCAGCAGACGGAATGCCTGCGCGATTGCACTTGAAATAGTCGATCTGCCCTGGGTTAGACACACTGGCACATATCGAAGAACTTTCATAACCCACCAAGGTTGACCGAGGCCGAAGCCCCTCGTATCCCATGTTCGCAAAGTTGCTGGCCGTCAGAGAACTGAGCTTCCTGGCAAATTCGTCTGACGATGTCTGTGGTCCTGCTGAGTACTTCATTCCCAGAGCTGCCGTACGACGATTCGAAGGGGAGTGTGCCTCGGGCGATGTCATGATATGGTCCTCAGGTGGAGCATTCTCGTTCTGCCCTAAAGGGGACCTTGCGAGGGGACTACGACCTAGAGGCATATCCTCCTCCTCCAGATCTTCTGTGTGAGTCCTCGAGCGCTTCGAATTCGAGCTTCGACTTGACGGTGGCAACTTCATGGGTATCGCATTCACAACGCTCCGCTTCCGCTTCTTCTGTCCATCTTCGCTACCAAACGGCGAAAGCAAGCTGCTGCTATTCGAGGCGGGTGATATCGGTTCGGTGAATTGCGGGCTGGATCGCGGAGGTGTCGGTTGGGCATTGATCGCGGGGCTGCTCAGCTCGCCGAGGGCCGGGCGTTCCCGCGAGATGTGGGAGGGCATCCCCCGCGGGGTGAAGAAACGACGGAACTTTCGGGGTGTCAAGACGGCCTTCTTCTTTTCCTTTCGAGAAATGCGCGACGGCGGAGACGAGGGGAGGGTGGGAGACGAGGCCGGCACGATGCCGTCGCTCGGTGGCGGGCTGGCCATGCCGCCGTGGTAAACCATGACGATGGTGAGGTGATGCCGATGACGATGACGATTTGGACTCCAATGGGGTTATATAATTAAACAAGCAATGGATACACAGTTTTGAAGGGCAGAAGGCCTGAAGGGCAAAGATGTCGTCTGGCGGACGGTGATTGTCGTCTGTGGGTTGTGTGTACTGGAGGAAGGGTCGAGGGTCGAGAGACCGGGGGAGTGTCTGACGTCTGCAAAGTAGCGTACCTACCTACCTCTTTACGCGATGCTGTCGCGCGACGCAGCGCGCGTGATGGAGGACGCGGGAAGGGACGCACGGGCCCACCTTTAATTGATTCACTGGGTTGTTCCCACAGACGACCCCTGGGCCCAATCAGACACATCCTGCTCCACTAAAAAATTCAGATGCGAAATGTCTGGACGGCGGCGGGGCGCATACTGAAGGTCGACAATCTTGCACTTGCAGCAGAGAGAGGCTTCCGACTCTCGCAACCTCGTGCACCAATCCTTCGACTCGCCCACCGACAAGATGGCGATCCAGAAGAAGCACGGAAAAGGACGTTTGGACAAGTGGTACAAGCTTGCCAAGGAGAAGGGATATCGTGCCAGAGCCGCGTTCAAGCTGATCCAGCTGAACAAGAAGTATGGCTTTTTGGAGAAGAGCAAGGTCGTAGTCGATCTTTGCGCCGCCCCCGGTGTAAGTTGTCGACTCTCCGTTAGCCACTCGTCAAGACATACAATCTAACAGTCTGCAGTCATGGTGTCAGGTTGCAGCGGAAACGTGCCCGGTCGGCGCCCTGATCGTGGGTGTTGATCTCGCCCCCATTAAGCCCATCCCCAAGGTCATCACCTTCCAGAGCGATATCACGACCGACAAGTGCCGAGCGACGATCCGTTCGCACCTAAAGACGTGGAAGGCGGACTGCGTGCTCCACGATGGTGCGCCCAACGTCGGTACGGCCTGGAACCAGGACTCGTTCAACCAGGCCGAGCTGGTGCTGCAGTCGATGAAGCTGGCGACCGAGTTCCTCGTCGAGGGCGGCACGTTCGTCACAAAGGTGTTCCGGTCCAAGGATTACAACCCGCTTCTGTGGGTGTTCAACCAGCTCTTCACAAAGGTCGAGGCGACCAAGCCGCCGTCGTCGAGAAACGTGTCGGCCGAGATCTTCGTCGTCTGCAAGGGATACAAGGCCCCGAAGCGCATCGACCCCCGCTTCCTCGACCCCCGCGCAGTCTTTGCCGAGCTCAAGGATGCGACCCCGAACAACGAGGCCAAGGTGTACAACCCCGAGGTGAAGAAGCGCAAGCGTGAGGGTTACGAGGAGGGCGACTACACCCAGTTCAAGGTCGTCTCGGCCAGCGAGTTCATCCACTCGGTCGACCCCATCGCGATCCTCGGCCAGACCAACCAGCTGTCGTTTGAACAGCCCCCCAACGGCGACGTGGCGCTCGCGGCGCTGGACAAGCTGCCAGAGACGACGGACGAGATCCGGAGGAACTGCGCGGATCTGAAGGTGCTCGGGAGGAAAGAGTTCAAGCAGCTGCTCAAATGGCGTCTCAAGGTGCGGGAGATCTTTGGCTTCCCGACCAAGAAGACGACCCACGAGAAGAAGTCTCTGCAGGACCAGGTAGGCGAGGAGGTCGCTGAGGTCGAGTCAATGGACGAGGAGCTGCGGATCCAGCAGGAGCTCGAGGCGCTCAAGAACAAGGACGACTCCAAGAAGAAGAAGGAGAGGAGGAAAGAGAACGAGAAGAAGCAAAAGGACATTGTGCGCATGCAGCTCAACATGGTCGCGCCCATGGACATTGGTATGGAGCAGGCCGGACCCCTTGGCCCGGACGCTATGTTCGCTCTCAAGACGGCCGACAAGGCCGGCGGCATCAACAAGATCGCCCGCGGCAAGATGGCCCTCCTCAAGGAGAGCGAGAAGAAGGCGGAAGAGGCCGGCATCGTGTACTCAGACTCGGAGAGCGACGCGGAGGAAGACCGCCTCGAGCGCGAGCTCGACGGCATGTACGACCAGTTCCGCGAGCGCAAGGCGGCGGCCGACGCGAAGTGGCGCGCCAAGCGGGCTCGCGAGGAGCACGAGGACGGCGAGTGGGAGGGCGTCTCGGGCGGCGAGCAGAGCGACAGCGACGAGGACATGGAGATGGACTCTGACAGCTCGGACGACGACGATGACGCCGAGGAGGACGACGGGCGGCCTCTCGTGACGGACTTGGACAACACGGCGGAAAACGGCAACCTGTCCAAGCGCGCGACGGCCTTCTTCGGCCAGGACATTTTCAAGGACATCGATATTGGCGACGTCGACGACGAGGCGTGGGGTGTCGACGACAAGCCTCAAGAGGAGCCGAGCCGAAAGAAGGTCAAGACCGCAAAGGAGGCTGAGGCCAAGAAGGCGAAGGACGACAAGGCGAAGGCGAAGGAAGACAAGAAGAAGCTCAAGGAGGAGAGCAAGAAGAAGGCCGCCGACGGGTTCGACTCGGACTCGGAGAGCGGAGACGACGCCGGCTTCGAGGTCGTCAAGAATCAAGAGGAGGACTGGGAGAACCAGGAGAAGCGTCGTCCGGACGGCAGACTAGGTATGTCCCTCCCCTTGCCCAAATGTTCACCAGGCCGCGACATTAAACTGACCCTCCGTGCCAGACATTGACATCATCACCGCCGAGGCCATGACGCTCGCGCACCAGCTCGCGACGGGCGAGAAGACCAAGCACGACCTCGTGGACGAAGGGTTCAACAAGTACGCCCTCAAGGACCGCGACGGCCTGCCCGACTGGTTCATCGACGACGAGAGCAAGCACGATAAGCCGCAGAAGCCCATCACCAAGGCGGCGGCGGCGGCGATCCGCGAAAAGATGCGCGCCTACAACGCGCGGCCGATCAAGAAGGTGCGCGAGGCCAAGGCGCGCAAGAAGTTCAAGGCGGCGCAGCGCCTCGAGAAGCTCAAGAAGAAGTCGGACATGCTCGCCAACGAGGAGAGCATGACGGAGAAGGAGAAGGCCGACAGCATCGCCAAGATGATGGCCAAGGCCGGCAAGGTCAAGAGGAGACCCAAGCCCACTCTGGTCGTCGCCAGGGGTAAGTTCCCGAACCCGACAGATGTGTCGACGACGTCCGTCATGCTAACGTGCTCCAGGTTCCAACCGTGGTATCCAGGGCCGTCCCAAGGGCGTCAAGGGTCGCTACACGATTGTGGACTCGAGAATGAAGAAGGATTTGAGGGCGCAGAAGAGGCTAGCCAAGAAGAGGAAGTAGATGTTGGCGTAAAAGTGTGGATCATACCCCCAGTCCGAGATGGTGAGGAAGATGATGTTAGATGTAAGGTAATCAAAATAAAGCATGGCCGGGTACAGAAAAGGCGCATTGATGTTGGACTAGTTCTTTTGCACCGTCGTGTTCTATGCGTTATCATAAGTCTAGTAAACCGTGTGCCTTGGACAAATGACTTGCCCCGCCCGCCCAAGAAAACGTCCCTCTATCCAACCTAGGAAGGGAATCATGAGAATATGCCGCCGCCGCCACCATCACCGAGAAAAAAAGGGCCAAGCCCGGTGCCGGGCATCGCGGGCCGTATCGTACAGCATCTTGTCCACCGAGTTGTAACAGACGTGACACGCCGAAACAAACGTAGACCTTTCCTCTTTCCCAAGGAACCCTTTGCTGTCGGCGACAAACCCTCGCCGACGCATCTGAACATCGTGCAGCTGTCTCGGCGCCCGCATGCGCACCGCCATTTCTTGATCCGAAAACGCCAATGCTGTCCTGCCGAGTCCTGAAATGCAAAATGCCCATCCGCCGTGTGAGCACATCGTCTTGAGCGTCTCTGTCGGTCGCCAATCTAGTCATCCTCCTGCTTGATCGTCGGTTCCTGCTCCGGTGCCCGCGGTCCCACCATCCAATCCTGCATGGCGAGCCACTCACTCCACTGGGCCTCGGCACTCTGAATCTCCTTCTCGGTGACGTTCGTTAGAGGCCGAAGAAAGGGAACCTGCTGCTCGCCGTCCATGTCGTAGTGGGACTTGACCTTGAGCCAAGTATCGCTTTTGGCGGCAAACATGTAGTTGCGGCGCTCTGCCTCGTGCATGGGGCCGATGCCACCCACCCAGTCGTCGCCGAAGAAGCCGTGTAACACGGCGGGGTAGTCGAAACCAGTGGCCACCAGACGCCGGATGTAAGGCGTCAGTGTCGTGTGTGTCGAGGACGGCAGCTGAGCACCGAGCGGCATCTTCCCGGCGGCTCGAGCCGTGGACGGCGTCGAGGGCCCGGGCCCGGCGGGAGAGTTTGGGCCGGTGTGTTTTGAGGACAGGACCGGGTTGTGGGTCTTTTGAAACGGGAGCTGGATATTGACAAAGGCGGCCACGGCCTGGATGGGCCCGCTGTATTGGGCGTGGTCCAGGAAATAGCGCAAGCACGACTGGAACTTGGGGTACCACTCGAAGATGTCGAATTGGGACTCTTGGAACGGCTGGCACGGAGGGCCGTTGAGCTGAGAAGCACTCGGACGACTAGCGAAAGAGTGGCCTACCTGCGCATACTCGAAGCCCGAGGCAGCGGAAGAACCGCTCGAGTGGTGGTATGCCATCAGTTCTCGGGGGGAGAACGAGGGGCCGCCGCGGGTGCAGAGGCCGTGTCGAGAGTTGATGCTCGATACTGGGTGCAAACGGACAGCTTGCGTACAATGGGCGGCAAGCAATGCCCGGCCAGGGAAATCGAGAGCGGCACCAGTCGAGAAGACAGAAGACAGCAGAGTAGCCAGGCAATGCAATCGGATCAATGGGAGTGTCTAATAACACGCTGTCCGATAAGATTGCCGTTTGTGATTGCGGAGTGCGTCTTCTGTATCTGGGCCGACTCGGAGGCTGGCAGAGAATTTGAAAGAGGTGCGGTCGGAGGCACAGAACTGACGCTGATCAAGCAAGGAAGACATGCGGGACGGGGAGGAGAAGGAGGAGCAGGACTACACATGCGGAGCCCGGCCTGCATGGGGATGGAGTCGAAGAAGCAATGACAACGCCCAACTAAATAAGGGTACTCGGCCTAGGGTCCGTTCGAGAACAGGAGAGGACAGGCGAAGGGAACGTCGGCGATGGACCATGCATGCAACGAACGGGACAACGGCTGGGTTTAATATACTCTGCACAATGTGCAGGCCTTGGAGGGGATTTTAGGTAGGGTGCAGAATGGTCCCTTTTTCCCCCCCAGTCTCCCTCCTGGTGCTGGACGTTATGAAATAGACGGGGCGTGCTCTATAGAGCCAGGAGTACTCGATAAGGGAAGGGGAAGAGGGAAGAAAAAACAAAACCAAAAAAAAGCTACAAAGCGGAAGAGGCCAGAGGAGGTAGGTACATGCTCAGTACAGCGGGGGCAGAGCCGAGAGGAGGGTACCTACATCCAGATTGTGACATGGCCACCTACTGCAACTTTTGGTTCGAGATCGCGTCCGCACCCACCGCACACCAATCCGGTGAGGCAGAAGAGGGCAGAAAGACATATGCGCACAGGCAAGGGGAAAAAAAGGAAGAGGCGGCGGTCGACAGATCTAGTGTCCGCCCGTGTACTGCTACTTGTTTTGCTACCAGTTTTGCTGTATTCCACATCCCACTCGGGTCTGTGGACGAATGATCCAGCGTTGGTGATATGCGTGAAGACGTGAGGTCCGCCTAGCTGGGCAAACTAGGGATCGGTAACACACTGACTGCATAGGCTGACTACGCGGGCAGAGGATTAGTGATGGTGGCACAAGTTGGGCCAAGGCGCGTGTGGCCCGATTGTTAGCCAGCCGGTGGGTTGAGGGTAGTCCGTTGCCATCCCGTTGATAGCGTAGTTAAATAAGTGGACAACGGCTACAGTTCAATCGTGAGCGAGTAGTGTTGGTTGGCGCAGGTAGGGCTCCTTGATGCATCTCCAAGTCCTGGATTGTGCTGTGCACGACGCATGTTTCGCCAGGGAGGTGTGGGAGCAGCACTAGCATCGACTAAGGGTACTGAAGTACACCCTGAGGTAAGGTAATTAAGGCATGGCTTGGTATGGTATGGTACGGCACTTATTGAAAGGCGGGAGCCGGGACGAGGCGTGTTGTGTGGGTAAGGTGTTTCGTGGGGTGATTGGCTCGTGCTGTCCTCTTCAGGGTTCTGCTTCTCTGTGAGAGTGTACGAATAGTGCTTGCGCCAGTTTGTCCGTTGATGCAGGAGGTGGTGTCGTCGTCGTCGTCGTCGTCGTCGTCGTCGTCGGAAGAGATGGATGGCGCCGATGATGGGTGGACTGTGAAGGCGGATACGCGCTATCTTTCTCTAGTGTTGTCTGAAAAATGAAGGTGGGCGGCGGAAAGAGAAGTAGGCTTCCCAGGGTCTCGAGAATGGCCGCCGATAGTGGGGATGAACCGAGGAACGAGAGACAAGACAGGCCGCACGAGATCAGAGACAAGATGGCAGGGCATTCCGATCACAAAGGATGGCATGTTGAGACAGACAGGTAGACAGACAGGCAGGCAGACTGACAGACAGAGGAGGGCAAAAGAATCTGAGTGTCGGGAACCTGGTGCAAACGGCGTCTCCACAGTCCTGCTGGTTGGCTTTAGCCGGGCAGAGGGTGAGAACACAATCAATGGAATCAGGTTTGGGCATCGCTCTTTACGGATGGATAGCTGCCTGGACGAGGATGAGCTGGCAGGCTAGGTCAAAGCGCAATGGAAGGATAGAGGAAGGGGAGCCAACATGCCCCCCTGCCTTGTCTTCAGCTCGACGAAAGTGAGGGAAAAAACGAGAACATGCAGTTGGAACAAATCCCATGTCTGGACGGGAAAGCACCCTGCCCGTGCCTGCCTTTGCAAACAATCTGATCCTAGGAGGAAAGAACATCCTCCACTAGATGAGTAAGGTGGGTCCGGTGGCTGCACCTGCCTGCCATACCTAGGTAACACTACAGAGTACGGGACTGAACGGGACTGGACCCCGGGTCGAGGTACCTTAGGAAGCCAAGAGGAAACCGTGGATGCCGAGAGGTGCGATGCGGGTGTGGTGCAGGGACGTCGACGCTAAGCCAAGATGGCCGGAGTCTTTACCGGAAGGAAAATTATTGGGTGGGAGGATGAATGGCACTCTGTACACTACCCAAGGTAGGGTGTGAGAAGGAAGGAGGGGGGAAAAAGAAGGGACGAAGTGAAGTCGAGCAGCGACGGGCGGCTTCCCAATCGGCATGCGCCAAACCAGTGGCCCGGGTCTGTGGCGGCTGCATCCATATCGCAAGTTGTGGAAGCATCAAGATGCTGTAGCAACCAAGACACTCACTCATGTCCCGCATCTTTTTTGACTCTCGAGCACCGTGTCGTTCCTGCCTCTCGCGCGAACACGGATCACTCCCATCCGGGGCCAAGCTACTGCAAAGCTGGGGCCAACGAGACATTCAGTGGCTTACTTTCCTTAGCTTGTTTGCCCTTCAGGCCTCTTGTTAGCTGGGCTTGACGTGCACGTGGACTCGGATCCGACTTGCGGCGGCACTGTTGCTGGCCAGTCGCATGCAAATCGAGCCTCATCCGAGGACAGTCAAGTAACCTAGCCAGCCGTCGTGGCCCCACGGCATGGCCAAGCAAAGTGAAAAGCCCCGCCAATGTGAATGGGAATGGAGATGGGATAATCGAAGCGGCTATCTCCGTCTCGACTGCTCCCACTCATAGCTCCTTCCTCTGTGCCTTCCATCTCTTCGTGTCCTATTCCAACCCCTGCCTGCCTGACGGCCTGCCACCTGGAAACGCTGCAGCCGGCGCGAGAAACGACATGTCGAAAAAGAAAACCCGAATCTGAAGAGAGAAAAAAAAACTTGGACACGGGCCCGACCAAGTCCCTCGTCAGTCATGCGCCATCTTTTTCGGCGTCATTCGTTTTGGCCTAGTACCCGACTGCTACCTCGAACGAGGTATACACAAGCCCTTACTCCAGTGAATGGCACTGAGAGACACTGCTTGCTCCCCTCGACGAAGGAACAGCAAGCATTGGCGTCAACTCGGATTGCCGAACATGCGACGGGCGCCTTCACCAGTAATAGACTGTTGCCGGGTTCGTGCTTCGTCTTTGCTCTACCGTCCCACACAGTTTTCTCCGTTATCGTCGTGGTCGAAAGGCGACAAACATCCCAGGGGCCCGAGTCTGAAGGTGAGTCGTATCACAAACAAGGGCCTCACCCGGCATGCGTGGAGCAAGACTTTGCCGTCGGTTCTTGCCATCTTTCTCCCTGGATGCTGACCCAGCCCTCCCTCCACTATCATACCATTGCCGAGACGCTTGAATAATGTGCATCGAGGCGAGTTGACACCGGAAGACGCACACAGGTGTGGGGCGCCCTCAGAACTAACGGATGGACGCACCAACAAAAAAAAAAGCAAGCAAACGGCCAGCGCAAGACGATGCCACTGGTGCAAGCTAGGAAGCCACCACTCTCGCCTGCGTCTCACGCCAAGGTCCATTGGATGGTAGGGGACTTCACCCTCGTCTTGTTTGCTCCATGACGATACCAATCAAGCTCTGCCACCCCATTAGTGGCGAGACCGAGACGCCGCGTCAAGCACAGTCTATAGCAGGTATCTGCGACATGACCAGTGTCCTGCTTTGCCAGGCATTGCAAGACGCCCAAGGACCGGTTCCAATACCGCTCCGGTCGTCTTCCTTGCCGGGAAGCCGGTCTCTCCCCTCTCGACGTATGGCCTAGAACAGTCGCGTCGAGTCGAGCCCGCATCGTCTAAGTCAATCCAACTGCCTTTCTAAGCCCCCGGTGATTTGAGCCGCAGACTTCAGTAAGTGCCCTCTGGAGATATACGCACAGCAAGCACTTTAGATGTCTGCACTTACAAATTAGGCGATAGGGGGGACCCATTTGCGCCTGGCTCGACCTGCAATTATCTACGCTGTTATCAACACACAGATAACTGCAAAGCCGACGGTCCTGCGGAGCCTGATACGTGATATGTGACCCTCGAAAGTACTCTAGCTCATCGGGGACCACCCTCTCTGCTGCAAGAATTCTCCAAGCCTTGCGTACGTCGTCGTACGCCCACTTTCATTGTCTCGACTGCTGCTGCTAGCCCACCGCGAGGAACCTAGAAAAGAAAGCAATGCTTAAAGCCACCAGATCAACCCGATCAGCCAGAGCTTGCCCCGGAGATCGTGCGTCACACGACTTGGGGAACACTTGGATGTCCCGTTCAGTCTCCCTGAACCTAGACGTCAACGAGAGCGACCATCCGACCGAGTACAACGGTTGAAGGGAAAGGTACACCTGTGCAGGGGTCAGGCTCCTGCTCCGGCCGAGAGCTACACGGTTAGGCTGGGCCCAGAGGAGTTGACCGCCGCTGGCGCGTTGTCTACTGCTACTGCTCGATGTATACGCAAGGGGCCTGCCTTGTCGACTCTTCAGTTCATCTGGTTGGAGCGTTGCCAATGCACCTCCGGATAACCACATCGGAGACACCGGTGCTCATTGGATGGACACAATGTTGGATGAACAGGCGGTTCAGTCGACTGAGACCCAGTCAACATGCCTGCTTCTTATACCTAGGTAGACCTTCTGAGAGTTCATACCCGCCCGTCTGGT